TCATTGTGTTCAGATGGATTAATTGGAGAGGTTAACGACACTGGACCAAACAACGAAATGTCTTCGACCTCGTACAATTTAGCCATTTCTTTCCTTAATTCTTTATATTGAGCCGGTCTGTCCGCGTCAAAATCAATCGCTTGATATTCCATCCGCGATTTGTAAGCAGTTAAGCATGTTATCAAGTTGTGAATCATTTCAGAATTCCAACGAAATGCTCTTTTCTTCGTCTGTTTACTGACAGCAAGCTCACTATTTTCCGCCATTTTTGTTTATGGGACTCGTGCCTCGTGTCACGTGTGTTCCAAAGTGTTGTTTTTATCCCGGCTCACTGGGCTACGCTAACTAATTTGTGTTCATATGGAATATTTTCATCCCACTTGACAGAGATCCCGGCTTCCTCATACCGAGATCTCACCTAACCGGGCTGGCTCACTTTCCATATGAACACAAGATGCAAAACCTATAAAATACTCTACAAGGTCGGATCTCGCTGCATCGTCATTATCCCGGCTAGGTGGGCTATCCCACCCCATACGAACAGGCCCTAACTGCATTATAATCAACTCATGCGCGCGCACAAGTTTGAACTTTGCACCGAAAACAAGCAATATTGTACGACGAAGCAACAAATGTTCCATGGAAAACATAGTATTTTGCGTGGAAATCTTAATTGTTCAATGAAAAACATAATATTTCGCATAGAAGTATTGTGTCCCTTGTAGGACACCGTAAAAAAATAGTTATTTGCATGTTATGCCGTATTAACCTCCTTTAAAATCAATTGCTCTTCGATGCATAATTATAGCTCGCATATAGGAATATTTGTTAGAGATCATGTCCCTTTGATTAACTTTTGAAGATTGCAGTACATCCACGACCCCCATGGTTCCCCCATTCTTGAACATTGGCAAAAATGGAGTAGTTCTTCAAGCAGATGAAAACATTTTTCCACCGTCTGCGCCTACAAACTGCAAGATGACCACGCAGGATATGGTCAGGATAGGCGTTTAAACAGTAAGTGAGATCATCCCTGGTTGGAGAGCTATGGACAGATCACAGATGTTATATCTTAATTCTCTAATCTAGCGAAAGATTCTAGACATGGAAGCACAGTGTCAATTTTCAAGCTTCTAGGAGCACTAAATAGAAATGGCATTTTAATTTGGAGCCCAGTAAGTGGGTAGGAATTGTCGAAAGAAATTATAAAACAAAAACAAAAAAATGCATGCAGTGATTGGGCTATAGCAATGTTTGCACTAGCCTGTGCAAACAGATCTGAGCTCAACAAATAAAATAAATAAATAAATCAAAGAAAATTTGAAAATCAATCATGTATACATTTTAGACTATTTTTAGAAGAAAAACAAAAAAGTTTGATTTAGTAGCTAGAGACATGCTGAGCGGAAATCGAATTCGTGTAATAAAAATTAATGACCAGCATAAAGTTTCAATTAGAGCCATAGAAATAGACCTAAAAATTCTAAAATTGAATTTATTGTAACGTTTTGTCTATACTCAAGACATCTTCAGACAAATAATAAATAGGATGTTAAGACAAGATATTATATTTAGTAAAAGGTGTTGAATTAGTACTAAAGGAGGCGGTCTCAAACGGATTATACGATGAGGAATTTACGAAGTAAAATAAATAGAAATTAAAAGAGGTTAAGTGGAATGGAGTTTCCTTACACGTTAAGTGAAGGCTTGTATTTATTGATTAGAAGGCTCTCATGAATGAAGAGTTCATAAGAATTGTTAGAAGAGGAGATTATTTTAAAGTCGTTTAAGTTTGGGGTGTGTCCAGTTGCGTTAATGTGAGCAAAAATGCTTGATAACGTAGGGTGGGAAACTTGGTTGCCTGCAAGGGGGGATATTCCCAAGTGCTCCGAAAATCTGGTGTGTAGATGACCCACATACGAGGCGTTGCAGCTTCGACACTTGAATAAATAGACTACACCAGATCTCAGAGGTTTGGGAATTTTGTCCTTAAAGGGAAAGAATGAGGTTTCCCTTTAAGGAGGAAAATGTACCAGCAAATTGATGGTATGGCTATGGGCATTCCATTGGGCCCTGTCTTTGCTGATATATTCATGTCTTTTCACGAACAATCCTTAATAAATGTCCTTCTTCATTCAAACCAATACTTTACCGACGCTACGTTGACGACTGTTTTTTACTTTTTCATTCCTCCGATCACGTCCCTCTCTTTCTTGACTATCTGAACCGACAACACCCGAACATCACATTCACAGCTGAAGTCGAACAAAACAGAAAACCATCATTTCTTGACATTGACATATCTCGCACAAATGAAAAATTCACCACTTCCGTCTACCGCAAACCTACTTTCACTGGCCTCTTCACTAACTTCCACAGCTTCATCTCACTTACTTACAAACTTTCACTAGTCTCCTGCTTACTTCACCGCATCTTCATCCTTTTTCTACTTACGAAAATTTTCATACACAACTCGAATTTACGAGAAAGTCATTCACCAAAAACGGTTTTCTTTCACGTATAATTGACCAAATCAGACGTCGCTTCCTTAACAACACCTTTGCCTCCAAACCTCCTATCTTGACTGTTCACAAAATGCCATCAATTTTTGTCTTCCTTCCACCGGCATGCACTCCCTTCAAATTCGCACACAAATCAATAGCCTTTGTGCAGCAGCCTTCCCACATATATCCATCAAATTTGTTTTCTGCTCTTCCCAACGTATCTCTTCTTTCTTTCCCTTTAAGGACAAAATTCCCAAACCTCTGAGATCTGGTGTAGTCTATTTATTCAAGTGTGAAGCTGCAACGCCTCGTATGTGGGTCATCTACACACCAGATTTTCGGAGCACTCGGGAATATCCCCCCTTGCAGGCAACCAAGTTTCCCACCCCACGTTATCAAGCATTTTTGCTCACATTAACGCAACTGGACACACCCCAAACTTAAACGACTTTAAAATAATCTCCTCTTCTAACGATTCTTATGAACTCTCCATTCATGAGAGCCTTCTAATCAATAAATACAAGCCTTCACTTAACGTGCAAGGAAACTCCATTCCACTTAACCTCTTTTAATTTCTCTTTATTTTACTTCCTAACTTTCTTATCATATAATCCATTTGACACCGCCTCCTTTAGTACTAATTCAACACCTTTTTGTAAATATAATATCTTGTCTTAACATCCTATTTATTATTTGTCTGAAGATGTCTTGAGTATAGACAAAACGTGACAATAAATTCAATTTTACAATTTTTTGGTCTATTTCTATGGCTCTAATTAAAACTTTATGTTGGTCATTAATTTCTATTACACAAAAAAGTTTGATATACATTTGTCTGTTTAACAATTCTGAATAGTTATCAGAAATTTTTTGTACACAAATTGTTTTATGTGTACAAAATGTGTAATAACAGACACTTCAGGTCATGAATGCAATAAATAAAAATTTTCAAAAAAACTACATAATTTAATACAAGTTGAAAATGAAAATTTGTTACTAAGGGTTCATGACATAGCTATGCGATATAAATCGTTATAAAATAAAAACAATAAAATACGTGCGGTATTTGGTCTAGAGCCTTGTTTGCATTAGCCTGTGCAAAACACACCTGAGCTCAACCAATCAAATCAATCAAAACAATCAATCAGTCAAAGAGAATTTGCTAATCAATCATGAATACATTTTGGAGGAAAAATTGAAATGTTTGTCTTTTTTGCATTATTGCTATTTTATTAAAGAAATGAAAGATGTTTTTCGTATTTGCGCTGGACTATGCAATTCTTTAAGGCATTTGTGAGAACTCCCGAACAGATGCAAACCTTGACCTTTGGTCTCTAGCTTGCACTGATCTGCTCTCAAGTTCTCACTAAGGTGTGCTTGATTTGCATAAGCCTGAACAAACACAATAAACATCTTTTATTTCTTAAATCACAACTTTTTTGTATTAGTGATTGGTCAAATGCTATGATGGCAATCTAATATGCAATGTATTACCTTATGCTACAGCAGTCATGCATATAATATCTAATGCGATCACAGTCCACTCAACTGTATTTTATTGCTTTAGTAACTATCTGAGTTACATTACTGCACCTTTTTCTGGACTTTATTGAAGCTAATTTCAACCACTATTTCTATAAGTACCCTTACTAACTATACATTGCACACTGATACAATTTAACTAGAAGTATGGGGGATGAGTGTAGAAAAGTGTAGTTGTGGGACAGGATCATATCATTAGGCATAAAACTGAATATCCATGTTCTGACTAAAACTCAGAATTTAATTAAAATACTATGTTTTATTTGATTATATTAACAATGTGTGAAACACTAGCTAAAAATAAGAAAAATAATGAAATTGTTATGTGGTGCATCCAAATGGTGTGCTATCAAGCTTTGAACAAATTTAATTTCAAATATATGTTCTATCACAAGGGTAAAATAAGTTAATCCCTGCTGTAGACGTTCATTCTGACTTTCATCAGGGTGATTAATCCATATTTGTATCCAATGCTGGCAGACAATGTGTTGCTAAGTGACGCTCAGTTATTACAATGGATATAGTTAGTTTACGTTTGTAGTCTCCCAACAATTAATCAATTTTTTTTTGAAAGTGAAACATACATACAGTTTTGAAAGTCATAGTAATAAAGCATAGTAAAACTCCTTTGAAGCAGTATATGCATTGATATTTGTAGGAACTGACATTCATAATTTCAATGGAAACTTATTACACTACATGAAGGCTGAGGGTCAATGAAATTATATCCTCGCGTTTCTACTGGAAGATATAAACATTGTGTCTATATCTAGTTATAAGATATAAACATTGTGTCTAAATTTTCGATCACTTCATTTAATTTTCGATAAAGTAGAACATTAATTTATTTACGGTCATTATGCAAGGTAACCAAACAAACACGAAAGGCTTTTTATTATTATGGCAAAGGCGAGAGTTGAGAATCGTCACCAACAAACAGTACCCAAGACTTACCAGGATGCTTCGCAAACAAGGCCTTGGCTCTTCTTCTAGGGCATCTAAAAAATTTTGGTGGAAATTATGTGATTTTTTTTTCAAAACCTTGCGACAACTCGCAGTGGCGAAGTTGACATATTGAATTTGAACTCACGAATAGTGAATGTAAGTTAATAGCTAGTGTTCGAATTAGGCATACGGCAGTTTTCAGCTGGCTTATAATTTGACCTCAAAATATTCATTAGAAACATATTGAAAAATAAATCAAACCTGAAAAAGCCGTAAGAGAGCGAAATGAATAATCCAATGGTGGTGCTGAATAGTTCATCGCATCGACAGTACAAGGGGCTAACCTTGCTTGCGTAAACATGTTAACATACACTGCAATAAACCCATGCAGAATACCATTTCTAATAGAATTCGAATTTGATCAAACTTCGGCGAAAACTGAATTCTGTGAAACAGAAACAGAGATTGACTTTTGAACAATGCTTGAAACACAGCAACTGTCAACAAATTGGAAAGGCCTGTTACCATGACAATATATGTATGGCGGAAATGTGCTTTTCCGTGCCATCCTTTCTAGGAATTTGCTTTTCGATTTTTTGTCCACCAGATCATGAAAATCTGAAGAACTTTTCACGAATTGATGAAATTTATACGATCTTTGAGAAATGCTTGAAAGATTTTATATTTTACTTTTTCCACTGTTCATGTTAAATGTGTTAAGCCATACCCCAGACTTTCTAGAAAAGCTATAACTTAATTAGCTAGGATTATCTATTCCAATCTACAACAAGCCTCTTCTTACAACTTGAAGTTACTACATAACCATACAGGCATAAGGTAAGTTAAGTTGCTAAACACCACTGAACAATTTGAATGACATAGAATACAGGTATGCACTATATACGTGCGCTTAGCATATGCGAAATTACTTTTGGAAAATCAAGGCAATGTCAAAGAAATTTCATATTATTTCAAGTTAAGAGAATTTGCGTGCAAAATCATTGAAATATTAAACATTAAATAGTACATTCATAACTTTGTAGAAACACAAATCATGACTTGCTCGGAAGTATGGACAGTTTTCGTTCAATCGATCTCGTCGCGTTCGTTTGTATTTTAATTGAAGCGGGTTGAAAAAAGTCATCGCCACCTTGTGTAAGAAATAAAAGATGTTTAATGTGTTTGGAGTTTGACCATATGCAAACCGAGGGGAAGTTTGGGGGAACTTGAGAGCAGATCAGGACAAACCCGAGAGCGAAGGTCGAGGTCCAGGTAAGGTTTTTTGTTATTTCATAAAGCGACTTGCATTCAAGAAGTGTCAAAAGACACAGCTGTACGAAATAAAAGATGTTTAATGTGTATGGAGTTTGGACAATGTTTTGACAGGCTTGTAACATGCAAACATAGGGACCTTCGGGGAACTTGAGAGCAGATCAGCACAAACCCGAGAGCGAAGATCGAGGTCGAGGTCAGATTTTTTGTTATTCCATCGCGCGATTTGCATTCAAGAAGTATCAAAAGACACAGCAGGCAATCAGCAATGAAATGGTACATTAGCACGTTTGTAGTCATCGCTCATAACATTCTCTAGTGTTGCTGTAGATGGTCCTACCACTGTACCACACACCTTTAGACAATTTGCGCAGTGTTTCAACTATTCAACATTTCATCTGACCCAGTCTGTTCATGTTATATATTATGCAACTTATAAAGCAATATTAACACAGAAGGGTTAGCTAAGTTTTCGCTTTTCAGTTTTTGAGTTTTGACGTCTGTTTTAACGACTTAAATCGTCCACGCTTTAGCATTAGAATATTAAACCGAGTAAGGGATTGGAAACGGGTTTTATAAAATGATAGAAACTACGAACATGGTGATGTGTTATGATGACTGTCGATCGAGCAAATGAGTACTATTTATTTAAAGCGTTGATGCGTTGTATTACTTCTTATTGCGCTGTTGAGTTTTGCGAATGGAATATTGTTATTTTGTCGTAGTGATGGATTACAATGCAATATGCATCCACTAAATTTAGAAGTCGCCTTCACGTGCTTCTTTCTTTGCCTTTGCTTCGTTGATCTAAATTAAGATGATTATTCCTCCGAAAAATATACTATTTTTATCGGTAATAACTTTGCAGGTTACATAATTTCTTAATTTCTGGAAACGTTTACAAAATGTCGTGCGCCAAAGATTTACGCAATGTCGAGGAAATTGAGAAATGGCTCGATGATCATCCTGAATTTGTGCTTTCGTATTTCTCTCGAAAGGCAACGCGGAATTTGTTTCATCGTACTTTACCTAGAACACAATCCAGAGATGCCAGTACTCCGCCGACTTCTGGGACCTCTACTCCAGTGCGGAAAATATCAGCTTCTGATTTGGACACAAGCATGAGGGGTAAACTAAAACCAATATTGAATGTTGTTGATGGACAGACAAGCTTTCTCAGCCCAGATGTGGATTCTTCGAAACTAAGCAGAACTTCACAAAGAAAGTCTCGAGATGAACTGAAGCGCTTGGATGAAACCGAATTGATGATGCAACTTGTAAAAGATATCGCTGAAGATCTGAATTTACGAAGTCTATGCCACAAAATTTTACAGAACGTTAGCATTCTTGTTAATGGCGACCGTTGTTCAATGTTTTTAGTGAAAGGGTCTGCTGACGGACCCAAATGCCTTGTATCTACTGTTTTTGATGTAAATGCAGAATCTAAAGTTGAAGATTTAGATAATGTGGAAGAAATTCGAATACCTTGGGGCTCAGGTGTTGTAGGATATGTTGCCGAGAAAGGGGAAACTGTTAACATTGCTAATGCATACGAGGTACGGTTTTAATTATTTTCTTATGGATCTAATACACTCCAGATTGTTTCCAGTTTCAAAGAAATTGTTTTTGAGAGTCGTTTCATCTCTACACATTAATACTGATTAGGTAATACAATGTGTATTCAAAAACTAATCCATTGTTTACAATAAAAATGTCTTGAATTTTAAGAAGAAAGCAATTTGCTTGAGTAAACATAACATTTATGACCTAAAACTTTCAGGATATTTAAAATTAACCCCAATATTAAACACAAATGCTTACACTGTAACTGTAAGAAGAGTTGTATTTTAGGTGCATGGTGGGTATGAGAGGAGACCATTTTAGCTTTAAAAAGTAATCTGTTTTGTGAAGTTGGTTTTTGTGGATAGACTAACCAGGTGCCAAATGGCTTCTATCTTTTCTTCCATCCATATCATTGATCTCTATGTGGAAACTAGATGTGGCATAAAACAATAGTTAAAAGTAAATAGCTGAAGTTTTATACAGGAATAAACTCTACTGGAAATTGCAAACATCAGTTACATCTTGCTTGGACAATCAATATAAGAAACTTGATGAACTTTGCTTATTTTTTGTCCAATTCAAGTTGTGGATTTGCCACTGCGGAGCCCATGTTGTAGCTTGTAAACTTCATGTTGATTGTGAATCATGAGATTACTATCGATAAGATACAATGCTCAAATACCTGTGAGACTAACGGCCGTGGTGATATCGGTTTGTTATTTGTGACATCATTGAATGGGGTTCATTTTGGGAATTGCACAGATGGTAGCAGGTTTCCTCTATCATGGTAGATTTCTTGAAGACAACTCTAGTTAAAGAAATCACAAAGGAATAGATTGATAGTGACTGTGCATTTCTTCAATTGCAAGGCCTGGATATAGTCAGGGTCATTGCCTTTGTCTTCTTTCACAGATAATATTTTATCATAAACTATATCTTGGAATAGAGAAAGGTCTGAGATTATAGTTAAAGACCAATTGGCCTCGTTGGTTTGATTGAAAAACATATTGTCGTCTCTATACTTTGGGATTTTAAACACTGAGAAAAAAATAGAGATTTAGTATAGATTAGCAATGTTAATTCAACATGTCATTGTCACTGCAACATTGCAAAATTGATGATATTTTTGAAGGACCGATACTTGACCAAGGACCTTTATTTAATGGCATATCATGTCATTTTCTAGGACCTTTAGTAAATAGCATATTAACATAGATTGGTTGTAAATGATTTGTAATTGCTCTGCATGCTCTGCATATGATATTTGAAATAACATAGTGTGATATGTTTCTTGTTATCAATGAATGGTCGAAATAGCCCGCATAATTTGGTCAATTTTCCTGCATCTCACGAAAAAAAATCCTTTCAATTCTTGCAGGATAATTTTGTAGCTGTAAAATTTTCCCACCAGACGGAGGTGCTCTCAGGTCGAACCCACAACCGCCTTTTGTTTCTTCCTTTTTGCCTTTTATTATGACTTCTGACAAACGACAACGACATTACTTTAATGTACGTTATATCCAGACGTAATAGCCTTTATATTATTTATTGATTCAGTGATTAAGAGTTAGTGTGGTATTGCAATAAAAGAAAACAAAATCATAAGTATAACTCCCAACTTATCGTCCCCCGTTTGTTTCTGTTGATCTCTCCTCATGAAGACTAAAAGTTAATGTCTTAAGAATTTAATCATGCAGTGGGAAATGCTTTTAAGAAAATGAGCGTTTTCAGATGATTTCTTCTGGATGGAATGTATACGTATATACGAAGAAAAAACTTAACCATTTTAAGGGCCAAATAAATTTCCTATAGACAAAAATTGTCTCCCTGTGGATTGGACCTAACATTTGATTCAATACAAATGTGTAATACCTAGCAGAAATTCTGCTGAATGTTTACATGTCGGTCTGTCAACTATTGCTAAAAAAAGTCTCATTCAGTTTCGTGTTCAAATTGTGAAACAAATAGGCTAGAAAGAATACAAAGAGAGAATAAAAAGTAGATTTTTAGAGAAGTAAATTTTCATGATCATCGAAAATTTACTACAACTTGCAGACATGTTACGTCATTGGATATCCGGTGTGATTTTTTACTCTTTGTAAAATAAAGTCCAAGGAAGCAAATTGATAAATTGAGAATAAAAAAAGCCTCAGAATGTTTGGTCAACATATTTGTTACAAATATATATTCACCACACGAAAGAGAGGAACTTTTTATATTTTTGTTGAGGTTCAATGAATAGCAAAGCTTATCTCATCATTTTGGTTTTGTTTTGTGGAGAACTCTAAATACGTCTCTAAAGAGAATGATCGTTCTTGCGCGGTCAAGTGGTGCGTTCTTAATCATTTCACAGCTCATTCTGATGGCGTACACTCCTATAACATTTGCCTTGAAAAACTGCACGTTTAATTTGGGATATGAATAGAACACACCAGAAACGATCACATCTACTCTCCTGTCAAAAATACAAATATACTGCGCATGATTTTAAAATATTACGCGCCAATCGTAAATTATATACGGCAGTGTGTGTGACAAACTAATATCATCACAGATATTAAAAGTCACGAGAACACTATTACAGCGATACCTGATTTGCCGAATGTTCATTTGTTCATTTGTACGTAGCAATATTATGATATCATACAATATTGTTGTTTTGCTCTGGCTTTATCGATATTAAGCACTCTATTGTTATCCATATCGTTTTACAAAAACTTATTATAAGACAAATCAGAAGTCATAAAGACAATGTTTTTTTTAAACGTAATCCTGCGCTTGAGTCGTTGAAGCTTTTTTCAGTATTATTGATTTATACGTGGTGTTAATTTTGTAATTTTTTTTATTTTTTAACACGTGAAGGATGAAAGATTCAACCAAGAAATTGATCAAAAAACAGGGTATAAAACAAGAAGTATGTTGTGTATGCCCATAAGGAACAGTTTTGGAGAGGTATGGTAAGATTTTTTACTATTATTACCGCGCATGCCAACTTGCGTTTTTTATTATTCTATTGCTGATTGTTTATTTCTGATTGTGACATGTTCAGGTAATTGCGGTGTCACAAGTTATCAATAAACATGGCCATGGAAATATAAACCATTCATTTACTCCTGAGGATGAAAAGGTAAGCATACTAAGAGGATTTGGCATCTGTTTTGCGTTTTATTCAAAGTTGTGTTTTATTGAGATAGAATATGTTTAACTGCATTGTATAGCTACATGAAATGCTTCTCGTAATAAATATAGCTACCACCCAAACTGTGTTTAAATGTAAGTCAAGGGAAGCGCCAATTATTCAAGCCTGTTTTTCATTGAACTCACACGAAAACATTTTTGATTTTACAAGAAAAAATTGGAAGAAAAACTGATTGAAAACTGTTTTTTTAGCTCTTCATCAAAAAGTTAGGTTTCCACAGAAACAACTCTTACTTCTAGGTTAAAATTGCAATATTTAGCATTTCAACTTTGTTATATAGCTATACACGTATAAAGCTTTGGGCGGATTTAAGTACATCACTGTGTAGTTGCGTATGCATCGTGAAATTTTTATAAATTGTATAAAATAGCATGTGTGCATTCATGTGTGTTTAAGTTTCACATCGAGATCCACTAAATAGTATTTTCATCAATATAATCTTGTCTTAAAAGCAAGTTTTAAAAGTCTGGTCAGTTTATTGCATGGTTTCGATCTTTTTTCTTCATCATGATCGAGGTCTGCGTTACTCAAGTCATAAGACTTTTGATTTCTTTACGAGAGGAACTATCTTATAAAGGTGCATCAGTTTTGCGTTATATATGCGTGTTGGCTTTGAATGCAGTCAGTCCATTCTAAACTGAATGTATAAAAGAAACTTTTTTCTTGCAGACATTTTCGGCAATCTTATGCCATCGTCAGTGCAAACAAATGAGCTATGTTACATGAATGTTGTGTACTATATATGAAATTCGGTTAGTTATTTACAGATAATAGAGATAAGTGTAGAGTTACAATTGTTTACAAGTAATTAACATATAAAAAGCACATGATACGTGAAGTGACAGAACATTGAATGTAAAATATATTTACGAACTAAGAAATGTGTTAACATGGTGAACCTGCTTATTAAGTTCAAGTTTGAGCTTATTAGATGCAAGGCTTCTTTAATTTTAAGAGTGAAGGAGAATTTATTATGGTCAAGAATTGCAAAACAGGTGTCGCTCTATGTAGTTTGTAGTTATGTGAAGATAGGAAGTGTTTGAAAATGTGCGAGTTTTTTCTGTAAAGGAGTGTCCTCTAATCCTAGTAGACATAAGACGGATTGTTTCTCCAATCTAATGACTATTACAAGCCGCACACGTAAATTGATAGATTACGCCGCGGCTTTGAGATGAAAAGGGATCGAGTCTTTAAAACTGAATGATTTTTGATTTTGAATGGTCGAAAGAAAAATTTTATTTCTAAACAGACGCAGTATCGTTTGTTTAGTGTTGTTAGTTGCTTTTGTATACCTTTGGAAAAAATAGTCTGTATATGAGAGTTGAAAGTAACGAGTGATGATCTTAGTGGTAGTTGATGATGGATCATAAGTGATATCTGATGTTTTACACGGATCTTTTTGTTGACAAGTATTGATGTCTTTTCGATAAACTCTTGAGGAAAACTGTTCCTTTATAATGTAAAAATCAGTTGTTTTAAATCGTTTTGAAAACCACGAAGTGAATTTTGGTTTTGCAAGTTCTGTCACCGAATGTTCGTATTAGGCCAATTTTGTTGTTTAGGGGGAGAAACTAAGAAAATTAGTAAATAAGCCTACACTAGGTTTATTGAGCGTTCTATTTTTGGTTTAAGCCTGAAGTATGACAATCATTGGAAGATTTAGTTATTACAACGTCAAGAAATGAAATATGATTACTGGATTTGTGTTCGGAAGTAAATTTAATAATAGGGTGTTGAGGTTTGAGGTACTCAAAAAATAAAACCGCAACCTTTCTATTGTAGAACGTGCTAAAAATACCATCTGCATATCTGCGATAAAATAAAACATTTGAGTTTTTATAGTTTGATAACCAAGTTTGCTTATGGTGTGACATAAATCAGTTGACCAAAACCGGGGCTAAAGGAATGCCCATAGCTATGTATACGTATCGTTCTATTCACGTACATATCTGTGTACAAAATTGTGAGGAGCGTGCTCAATTGTGTTACCTTGTCTGTTTTAAATGTGTTGCCATGTGCATTTTAGTTGACATCAGTTTTTTACATTATGAGGAAAGACATTTGTTGGTTTTAAGTTATTAAGATTGTAGAAAATATATTAAGATTTAAGATTCACACAAGAATATAGATCAAAAACTATTTTTGTAGTTGTAAAATCAACTAATAATCCGCCCCTAATCGTAAGAAATTGTATTTCAGGTGCCTAAATTTTCAAATTTTTTGAGCCGAATCCCAACAATTTATGATTAAAATAAAGTACAAATACTGCTGGTTGCGCGCCTGGGCAAAGCTGATTAAAGATTAAATTTTTGACCGCTTAATATTTGTGATTAAACGCGAAACCGTGTCTTTTTTAGATTTTTAGTCGTTTTTTGACGTTCTGTGGAATTGCTATTCATAACGCGGAATTGTTTGAAACATCTCAAAAGGAAATTAAACGAAATCAGGTAAGCATGCTCAAAAGATCATTAAATTAAAGATCATTAGTTGGTATGCAAGCTAGAAGATTCTGAGTTAAGAAATGTGTTCGATGCTCTCAAATATTTTCGATACTATATACAACTTAAAACTTGAGCTCTGCTTACGTAGATATGTCATAATCCATGTAGATCTTTATTTTCTTCCATCACGTGATTTTGCCCAGATTCTCAGGATAATCAACTCACTTATTCAACTTACCCATTTTTTTACTTTGTCTTCTTCCAACTATTTAGTAACATCCTATTGACTTGTGTGCCGCGGAATTGTGCTTCATGTGACAATATTGTGCGTGTAGGATGCTGAAATGTTCGAACATAAGAAAATAATGCATTGCTTTTCATGTCCAAAGTTTTTTTATACTCGTGAACATTTGATCATGGTCATTACTCGGGCTACCGAAGGTAAGCCCGAGTTTAAAATTTTCATTTTTCTGTACTGTCGCAAGATTACATAAATCACGCATAAGTAAAGGCCGATTTCCATTACGGTCGTATTGTCCCCGCGCGTGGAGCGGACACTTTTGAGCATTCCTACTCGCGTTCAAAAACAATCTACTAATTTAAAAACTAGTCAAAGATGACAGCTTTAAATAGAGTTGATACTGATTTTATGAAGACAGCGATTACAAAGAAGGAAATACAGAAAACGATTTTGGGTAAGGCAAATCTATTTAGTTTGAAAAAGTAAAGGCGTACATCACACTTAAGTACATTAGGCAGTGTTATTCGACCATGAGCTGTTTTTCAAATGTTTCAATTGTCACCAAGCACATTTGAAGAGCTACTTGGTATAGTTTCCCCAACCATCACACGCTGGAAAACACGACGAGAAGCCATCGCGCCAGACGAAAGGGTGACAATAACACTAAGGTACCTGGTCACAGAATAAGAATACACAGAAGAGTCATTCATGTCGGAACCTTTGATGTTTTTGTGCTCGCACATGTCGTGTCGCATTATTCCAGCCAGATGATTAGGGTTTTTGACATTTTCCAAACCTTTAAAATGATCCGAAGTCATTTCTTTAGTCAAAATATACTTGAATTCATTCGAATATTGCCGTCATGTAATTTTAATGGTTGGAAACAAGTGAGAAATCCTAATCATCTCACTGGAATAATGGCCGACATGAGGAAACGTTGTACATCTGAGTGACCCTTCTGTAAAATCATTATTCTGTGACCTAATGATGATGCTTTTATAACTATAGCAGCAAGCTTTCGCTTAAGTGGCGTAACTGTTTGCTATTGGTTGATTTTAATCACCAAAAAGGGAGGCTCTTTTCGCCCTGTTATATATCTTAGCCGGTTGAACAAGTTCGTAAAAAACGAACACTTCTAAATGGAAAATCAACAGTGTGTGAAAAGAATTCTAAGTCCACAGGACTTTATGGTCAAGTTGGACCTCAAAGACCCCTACATGACCGTCAGTGTTCACCCCGACTCACAAAAGGTTCAACTGGCAAGGTTAGAGCTACCAGTTTAAAGCCTTACCATTCTGTCTGAACACAGCCCCTCGGGTGTTCACGAAATTACTTAAACCGGTTGTAGCATTCTTTTGCACTCAGAATATCAGACTCCTAATTTATTTTGACGACATCCTGTTGGTGGCCTCAAACCCACCTCGTTTACGGCAACACACTCTGGTGGTTATGGACTTACTTCATAATCTGGGTTTCATTATGAACTACAAGAATTCAATTCTCACACTAACCCAGGTTAAAGAGTTTCTAGGTTTCAAAATCAATTCCGTAACCATGAAGTATTACCTGCCATTCGAGAAATTAGGGAAGTTTTATCTTCTCTGCAAATCTTTAATAATGGAGAAACCAGTATCCCTACATACTCTATCGCAACTGCTAGATTTTCTCGAGTCTTGTCGTCCAGCAGTTTGGCTGGCTTCCCTCCATTTCAGGCACCTTCAATCGTGCCAGATCGAACTAGTGACGTTGAATAATGGGGTTTATCGTGGAACAGTCCACCTCAGCGAACAGGCACTGGGCAAGCTGCAATGGTGGATAATAAACATTCGCCAAGTGAATGGAAGTACCATCCGCCCTCTTTCAACTGAAATGATCATCACGACTGACGCGTCCAAGACAGGCTGGGGGGCCGCTTTTGGCAAGTCGTCAACCAACGGACGCTGGTCACACGAGGAAAACCTTCACATTAATGTTTTGAAACTGAAGGCTGCCTTTCCCGCGATACAATCGTTCCTAAAACACGAGTCGAACACTGTGGTGAAATTGCGTCTAGACAATACCACAACCGTGTCAAGTATTAACAACCAAGGTGCAACCCGCTCCCCACAACTGCTGTCTCTGACTCTAGACCGATGGAATTGGTGTCTACGACACAACATTTATTTGAAAGCAGAATATCTCCCAGGAACCCTAAATGTTCATGCAGACCGAGAGTCAAAAATCTTCAGCGATTCCAGCGATTCGAGAATAAGACCACAACTCATTAGACCCTTTCTAAAGGATAGAGAGATCGATCTGTTCGCCTCCCGGTTGACCAATCAACTAACCCGATATGTAACTTGGCGTTCAGATCCCAATGCCTACGCAACAGATGCATTCACTGTAGATTGGAGCTCCATGAGGGGATATGCGTTCCCTCCTTTCAATCTAATTTCACGATCCCTACTGAAGGTGAAAGACGACAATGCAACCTCACTATTAGTAACACCAATTTGGCAGGCCCAACACTGGTGACCGCAGTTGCTACAACTGGCAATAAGCCTACCTATTCGTCTCCCTGCCTCCTGAACCCTCCTGGAGGACCCATCCAATCGGGGAGCTACTCATTCAATGTATCCAAGATTGCGGCTAGCCGTTTGGCTCATTTCCAACAGCGCTGCTCAACAAAAGGCCTTTCGAACACAGCTACCATACTACTGTGTCCTCCACACGAGAGTCAACAAACAAGGCATATGACTCCGCTTGGGCCAAATGGAGTAGCTGGTGTTCTTCAAGACAAATTGTTCCGATTTCGGCAGATATCCGAGATATTTTAAGCTTCCTAATCGGCCAGTTCGATAAAAACTTACAATACCGTACCATCAACGTTTATCGTTCGGCCATTCCTCAGTACACGCATGGGTCGGCGGCAAGCCAGTGGGACAACGCCCTACCGTTATACGACTGATGAAGGCATCTCCAATGAACTTTGTAAATGACCTTGTAAACGTAGGTATTCGTCAACATGGGACGTATCTACAGCAACTTCATATTTGTCTTCATTAGGGGAGAACGATAAGATAGACCTAAAGCTTCTAACTAAGAAACTATTGATGCTGTTAGCTTTAATATTACCAGAGAGGTCCTCAGTCCTATCAGATCTCGATATTCGATTCCTAAAAATACAACCTGATGTCTTCATATCTACACTAACTAAACCGCCGAAAACAGGGAATCCCAGATCTCTCATCACCATAGCTTTCCCGCGTTTTACAGAGGACAACTTGCTATGCCCTCTGAGATGCTTAGAAACATATTTAATCGCCACAAAGGAGTTCATATCCTCACCAAACTGTGAAAAGTTATTTCTCTCTACCCGACGCTCACACAGACCCGTGTCCAAAAGCACAATTGCTAGGTGGCTGTGCGACACAGTAACATCAGCTGGCATCGAGTCAACCATTTTTAGGGCTCATTCCACCAGAGCGGCCTCAATATCAACGGCAGCTAGGAAACAGCTACCACTAAATTAATGACATCATCAAAATGGGAGACTGGACATCCCCTCTACTTTGCAACGGTTCTATAACAAGCCGACAATTGACAATAAGTATGCAAACACGATTTTGAAATCCTGAAGCCCAATTACATTATTATAAAGTATGAGTGCCTAACACTCCCGGTACGTTATCACACCGCTTACTAGGTAGAAACCATTAAAATTAATATTTGGGTTTTGTTAGCTTTAGACTATGTATTGTTCTATACTTGTTTGCGTTGAAATCTATCATTTTTTCCCCATATATTTCCACCGAAGTTTTCGAAGTGTAATTTAAATTACACAAAGGGCCTCCTGTCCCTGTTAGTGTAATTATGATTATACGAGCAAACGAAGGGGAAATATATGGGCCCACCCTTCACCGATGCGGTTTTTCCTATACCCTTATACTTTCGTTTTCTCGCACGTGTTGAAAAGAGCCGATAGGGACCGGTAGTCAGGCATACTTATATGCCAGATCTTATTATTTATTCATTTTTGTCATCTCTTTTCCGTATCCGGAAACGTTAAAGCGTGAGTTGAGCACGGTAAGGCAAGCTTTACCATTTGTTTTCCCAAATATTTCTCCCTTCGTTTGCTCGTATAATCATAATTGAACTAACAGTGCTAGGAGGCCCTTTGTGTAATTTAAATTAGTGACCATTCAATGGCCTATATAATACGTAAGGCACATCACACTCGTCAGAGCCCCAGAACAAATAATACTAGATCAATGAAAAACTTCAATAGAGAAGCTTTTTTAAATGATTTGAGGCAAAAGGAATTACAAAATACCTCTCATTCTCAAGATCCAAATGAGATGTTGCTTACTTGGAAAAATATACTCATGGAAACTATTGAAAAGAATGCACTGCCATAGGAGCATTAAAACGTATGATGGCGTCTATTCCCATGAGTACTGCTATCCAAATTTATCATGCACTATTTCTGTTCGGTTTGGAACTGGCTTTGTGACACGCTAAACATAAAATTACAAAAACTACAGGTTTATGCAAAAAGACTGAGGTCTGATATTTCTCAGTAAAGACCGAGAAAGCGAGGTTATTAAAAGGATTATTATATGGCATTATTTAACCGGAAACGAAGTTTGCTTTCCTTCTCGTCCTTGCTGTTTTGTACGGGTTGGCTTTTATTTTTCTATAAAGAATCGTCCATAGAAAATAGCTAAATCGTTTCAAATTGTATCGTCTGGATAGTTAAACTGTTTTCCAAGTGTTTTTCCTTCGAATCACATTCGTAAATGGTTTTTTGTTTCGTTTATTTTGCGTTTTTTTCTGTTTGAATTACGAAGTTTGTTCACATTTGACAGTAAAAATACGCGTTTTTGGACGTGGTCGATTACGGGAAAATAATAGACCGGCAAAAATGTGTCTCAGCCAATCAAAGCACGTCATTTTGCCGGAAGTAACGCTTGCCATGTAATAATAATGACTTAATTTAAGCACATGCTTTAACGTGTACGCTCTGCGCGCGCGGGCAAAGTGCTGTAATGGAAATTGGCTTTAACACGAAGCCTTGAACTAATCAAAATATTTCCTGGCGCGTTTCGCGCGTGAGTGTCACTAATGACAGGTATTATGAAAAACGATTGACTTACATATTTTAATGTCACATGTTATACAACCGATCACTTTAGTGCCATTTTATTGTTTAGGTTTTGTTGGATCTTGCCAAAACAATTTTTGAAGAACAACATTCTTTAGAAAATGTCGTCTGCAGAATTATGATGATAACACAGTCATTGTTACAGTCCGAACGCTGTTCTGTGTTTTTAGTGAATCAAAATTCCAAGGTAAACCTTCTTCAAGCATCCATGTTTCATTCACGCATGAGTAAGCAAAACGTTTTTTAATAAAGCCCGTTGACATCGTCGACAATCTTGCTTTGCATTTGCACTGTGCACGGTGTTTGCAAAGTTTCAGAGAGTTCCTTGATTTAATTTTCAGGAAAAAAACAGTGAATAACTTTTTCATTTTATTTTGTTTGCGTTTTTCTGATCATTTGGTAAAAGTGTCCGCCAGTTTGCACCATGGTCGGCGTAATCGTATCATGCTTTTTTTCCATTTGTTTTACCCAGTGTAACCCATCGAAATGAGTATAGCTGGGACGCTACCTGTCCCAATGATATTGAAGCCGCTTCTCCCCAGTCTTCACGCAAGGAAACACACGGCCAAATAAATTTTAAAATTATAAAACACATCATTAAAACTTTCGAAGAAAACTTCACTTTAGAAAATAGTGAATAATTTTTTAAGATTATTAACCAAGGTTAAATATGTTTGATTTGATAATTTCATCGTTTGGAAATGCAGAAAGAAAGGCCTTTTTCTTTGACAAAAAAACGTACAGACAATACATTAGACACTCCGTAAAAATTAAACATTTTAATAATCTATGCGTTTCAACAAAACGTTTCGTTGTTTTTATTTAGAGATGTGAATACATCAAATACAAAATCATACACATGAAAAAGTTACACAAGTTTTGCTATGAAATTTTAGCTTTTAAATTTGCAAATCCCTTGATATGATAAAATCTTCTGAATGAAAGTATGCACTATTTACGCCGCCAATTTTTTTCTCTGTTAATAGCGTTTGTTTCCCAGTCAATCGACAACTTCTTTCGCTCAAAATCAAATTGCGTTTGTTTGAAAACACGTTCCATTACAGTCCCAATCACAAACTTTTAACTCAAAACCATAAAACAAAAAAATTCTTTTAACTTCGTTTTGTACATCGCAACAAAAGCAAATGAAATAGTCAAATAGCTTTGTTTTCTTCACAACACTCCCGTGAGGGAATCACGAATAAAGCCAAGTGAAGCCAAATTTGCGGGACTTTACCTTCAGGCAAGAGGGTCTGGAGGTAAAGTCCCGCAAATTTTGGTTTCATGAAAACAATCTCAAGGTAGCTTTATATTCATTTCAATGGTCAAATTCCAATCAAAATGAGCCTGCATGAAAAATTCTCAATTTATCTGCAGAATTTGTTTTCTCGTGCGTTTGACTTGGAGGCCAAGGATATTATATGCAGTGAGAGTTCCAGCTCACCTGTAAAGACAAGGAGGTAATTTTTTAATCAGTATCGTAGCACGCTTGAATGTGTGTCCCTTTTATGCAAGTCTTTCTGTGTTTGCTTACTGCAAAATAATTGATTTCAAAGAATGAAATAACGATAATGCTCTCAATTTTACGTATCAGGGCCAAGGTTTGCTGGTGGCTACGCCAATGGTGTTGCACAAAATTTTTTACGCGAGTAATATGTTATTGTAGTTATAGCAAGCCAGCTTTTGTTTGTTTTTTAAGACTTTATTGGTCACTTTGTGTTATCCAAGTTTGCATGCGTATCTATACAGGGTGTATCAAAAGAATTTGGAGAAACGTTGCTATAGTTATCAGGGCGCAAGATCTGTGAAAACCTTTCGTAGAATAGGTAGCTGGACTTTTAATTATTCATCTAACAGTAAAATTGTCGCAAACAATAACCATTGTTAGGATGAGAAATGTGTTGACGAGGATTATAGAAAAATGAAGATTATAAAAAATAGCATTTTAAAAAATAGAAAATTTGAAATAACCAGCAGCTTATAAGCTAAGCGTTCGCGTGCGCATCAGCCAAATTTTCTAATTGTTAGCTTGAACAATATGTGCCATATTTTAACCCCGTGTTTCTAGTTGCTTTTGTTGCCGTCGGCTTTCCGAGCGCGTGGCACTTATATAGCAGTGCATTTTAATATTTTAGGGAACAAATATTACAGTTTGCGAAAGACATGGAGTCCAATAGGTCCAATAGGCCCCATTCCCCTTTGTTTAATGTAATGTGTAGTCAGTCCTACACAACAAATCAATTCCATGCTCATAATCACTGTATGTATAATGTCTGTAAATAGAACGCTAATGTGCCATGAATAGTGACCGCAACATGGAATGTACCATTCACGTTTGTATGTGTATAAAAGTATTTCCTTGCTGAAAACAGCTGAGTAACATGAATCCAGATAAAATCAAATAATATAGTTACACACAAACACTGGGATACTGAGAGTTACATATATGATACCATATAATTGTTGGTGTTAATGGATGTGTTGATCTTGTGCTGGTTGGCAACAAATTGAACAAAATACAGGAAACATCCTTTAAGCTCCAGTTCAAATGATTTAATTGTTTATTGGCTGAGTTCTAACTTTCATGTCAACTGCAACATATACATGTAAAGATTAATAATTTAAATGAAGCAATTGCTTTGCTACCGCTTGCCTTTCGCATGCAAATTTTGTAAAATGAACTTTGGAATACTGCTCGTCAATTATTCTCAATTAGATATTAGCATATTATTCATACATACAGTGTTACTTCTTGCATGTTCTTCTATAAATTGACTTAGTTGTATGAGAATTTGAAAATAAAAGGTGGCACAATTAGCCTGTATATATTAAGTGACAAAATTATACAAGATATTGCAGTTTGTTGCTCATCATATCAATCGCATGTTTTAAAAATTGCTGCCCTTTTCTATCCATTTGGTCTTGTGTCATTTATGGCAGATGATAAATGATGGAAAACACCCAATACAATTTGCTAATGGCTGTTTTTCCCTACCCGGGAGAGAGAGGCAGCAATCCCTTGCGATAGTAACTCCTAGTTTTTAATCTGAAGAAAACATCTTGCCAAAAGCATTACCGATTTGAATGTTTAATTTTTGTTAATTTTTTGATATTTTTTTATATGTACATGCAGTTTATCCGACTTCCAGTGCCCTGTCAACATTGGCATTACTGGTCACGTGGCAACTACAGGGCAGGTATTTATATGCAAAGCGAGTCTAGTGCTCACTCTCAACTAGAAATAGACAGTGGACCAGACGGTAAAAATGTGCTCAAAAAACGATTTTCGCTGCACACCTCTCACAACTAGTAATTTCTTTCATAATGTTAAGGGGAATAATGCAAAAGCAAGTAGTCAATGTGGCCACGAGCGATAAGTGTGCACAATAAGCAGAAATTTAAGTTTTATTCACGATGACGTCATCGATACATATGAAAACCAAAAAATTTGCAAATTTCAAAAATTCTCAGTACCATTAGATAGACCAGTATAAAATGAGTAAAAAAGTATATTGCATTGTTTACTTTCAGTCACTCGTTTACTAAGCATCAACGAAGGTTTTTCCATGATGCTGACTCAGCATTTTAAAGTCTTGCTTAAGCCAAAGGCAGATCAGCCAACTTGCCCGGTTTTATCGGCTGTTACCTAAGTCTTAAAGCAAATCTTCTGAACACCAGATTTTCGATTACTTTCATCCTTCATTAATGACATATAGTTAGTGAAATAGTTTTAAAAGAATGAGGTCGGACTGTATTAAATGGCAACATATATTAAGCATTTTATATGATATGCATAAAATTTTCCTCATGCTTTCTTATTATGAGCAAGAAATCCACTTGAGTTTTTTCTGTTTGCTGTTTTTGCACAATTCTCTTCCACCGAGTTCTTTTGTTCGTCAATGTGTTGGTGAATGCAATTCTCTACTAAACACTCCCTTAGACTTGATTTGTTCAAACGGATAAAAGTGATCGAGAGTCTTGTGTTCAGAAGATTTGTTTTAAGATTTAGGTGACAGCCGATAAAACCGGGCGAGTTGGCAGGTCTTCCGCCTATGGTATATGGCGTACCTTAAAATGCTGAGTCAACATCGTGGTAAAGAAAACATTTGTTGATGCTTAGTAAACGAGTGACTGAAAGTAAGCTATGCAATATACTTTTTACTCATTTTATACTAGTCTATCTAATAGTACTGAGAATTTTTGGAATTTGCCAATATTTTGGTTTTCATATGTATGGTGACGTCATTGTGAAGAAAACTTAAATTTCTGCTTATTGTGCACACTTATCGCTTGTAGCCACATTGATTACTTGCTTTTGCATTATTTGCCATAACATTATGAAAGAAATTATTAGTTGTGAGAGGTGTGCAGCGAACGTTGTGTTTTTGAGCATATTGGTCCACACCTTAAAAAGTCGATTAGAAAACTGCGTGGTTACAAAATGCTGAATTTTCACTATATGAGTGCTTTGTTCAAAGTTTTCTTGGTATAGTCCGTCGTTGAATGTTTTATGTAGTGCGGTGTTTGAAATTAAATGAAGATATGATCGTCGCACTTTGCTGGACAATTTAAGCAATCGTCTCAGGACCTTCACATTCCTTTCACGAGAAAACATGAGCCCAACAATATTGACCTGCTCACCACTGTGTGACTTCATAGCTCAGTTGGTCAGAGCACTGCACCGGCACCGTAGAGGTCATGGGTTCGAATCCCGTTGAGTCACCTGATTTTTTCAGGTACTGAGACGATTGCTTAAATTGTCCAGTAAAGTGCGACGATCATATCTTCATTTAATAGTCCGTCGTTAGTAGCTAATGCTTACGTGTGTGTTTTGAATTTTTTTTTTGAATGATTATAAAACATTTGAAGTCCTAAAAATACCAATCTACAAAAAGACCAATATTATCTTAGAATTTTGACTCATTCTTGAATCTAGTCGTGTGTTTATTAAACATCTTTATGACTGTGTATTTTTTATCATACTTTATTGTATGTGAACATTTATTTTTCAAATTTTATTAAGAAATATAATGCTCATGAAAAATAATAAATCTGAAACGAGACGCATTGATAATTAATGTAGCCAAATTTATAGTTAGGTTACTTTAAAATTATCCAGTTCAGGTAGCGCTATACTCAATGATACTTTAGTAACTTGTGTTGTCAATTAGTTGTGTGAAGGACTATTCTTACGTGGACTTTTGTTTGCATTGAGCGGTCATTATTTTTTTGGTCAATGTGTTGCAGCATTTCCAATGCTTTCTTTCCCTGGAAATTACGAAATTGCAATCTACACATTCACAGTAAAATATAATGAAAGGTAATTGAAATGCCTGGCGTTACTATTTTTTGGCTGAGTTTCAAGTGGATTCAGATTTGAGCAACCATTATGAAGAATTGGTTGACTTGTTCTAGAAATCTTCTGGTAGATTAGGTGCTGTAAAATTACAAGAAGATTTTCTTTAAAACTGTGCAGGGAAAGATATTAATAAATGTTTTGAACCCTGCTAGATACAGGGGTTATCTAAAGAAAACTTTTCGAAATGAGTTAATTTTGATCGCCAAATTGTTTTTTCAATGAAGAACAAAGCTAAGCAAGAAGCAATTTCTTGTTGACGTCTGCTTGGAATGAAGATGTTGAACAGAGGTTTGAGCCAAAGTGTCTTGGGGTATTTGAAGCTCCCATCAACCATGCTATCTAAAAGTTGTAACTTCACGCCTATAATCAAGGAAGTCATTTTTGCTTCAATCAATGATTGTATTCAAGAATTTTCTCGATTTGTATTTCAAAGAAAAGTACAACGCAGAGTATCAACTTCTAAAAGGTGTCATTCTGCGCCCATTTACTCCTTTTTAAGAGAACAGAGACTTTGTCGTGGTGACAAATTTAAAAGTTGTCTTAAAAAGACTAAATACCATGGTGAATGGTCAAATACTAACGTAATTCTTCTTAAAAAAACTTTTTAAGCCAGAACACTGAACCAACAATTTTAGAAGAACTGTTTATTAAGCTAAGAAGGCATTATACATTTCGGCAGACTACTCATCAGGTGTCAACGTTTGCTAAATGAAAGCTTCAGAATCATGCGATATTTATAATATTACCAAAAGTCAACGTCATCTCTAAATTGAGAGATGACGCTTACAACAGAGATAAATGAAACACGTAATCTTTCTGTCGGCAGAGGACGGGATTAGTCAACTTAATTAATACAGACTCCATGACGCGTAACTGAAATAATTTTTTAATAACTTTATAGTTATGATCAGAATATGAATTGGCACATTGAGTGTTGCTCAAAAGATTTTTTCCAATCGCTGAATCACATAAAATCAAATCCTTTTTAGGATGCAATCAGCTCCTTGAGATTATCAGTATAGAAAGCATGTCGACATGAAAGGTGCTAGATTTTGGTAATTTTTCTTGCAAAATTTTCCAACTAGTAAGAGGTTAACCTGGATAGAATCAAGCCGTCCAAGGTTCTGTCATCACAGCTCTAGCTTTGCTTTGTAGAACGAACAGTGATGGAAAGCCCAACGAGTAGCTCGCGAAGATCACCAACCAAAGTAATTGCTTTATCATCATTTATGACAGATTTTCGGCAATGATCAACATAGAAGTTATGTTTCACTGTCAGGAATGGACGGCATTGCAGTCTTTATGGGACAAACATTACAAAAATATGCATTCACTTGTTATGGATCAAACTCGTTAAATCTATTTTCTATAGTTACTGGTCTTTCTCAAATTTTCATTAGCTACCATATTGCTTCACTAAACTTATTGGATGAATTGTCCGCGAATTCAGCCTACCCATTGAAAAAATCAGGATCGTTCTGCAGCCTTATCTTCAAAAACTTTAAGCAAGTTTTCCTCAAAGATCGAATATTTGAAAAATTCTTCCAAGGTAAAGTCCATTATGAAGGCGTCATATTGTTAAATATATATACTGTGTACGATACACGAGTTTTTACACGTGCTGTTTATTCACAAACGAGTCGATTCGAGCAACACTGAACTGTCAGGATGGCTGCTGGAAAAATTGGTTGGGTATGTAAATATCACATGCGAATGAATGACTAAAAAGGGGCCGTAGCGTTAAAATTTAGATTTGAATTATGAATGATGCAAAATTGTTTCTCCACTTCGTGTCCTAGAAGCTAAATTCCTCTTCTATACACGACGATGCATCTTTAAATTCCTGCAAAAGGCCCATCACATTTTTTATCATCGCTGTGGCTTATAAACACAACACTATAGCTTGGCCTTTTTACTCTCTCGACCTGAATCCAGTAGTGCCATAATGAAACGCCATGTTGATGAGGGTCGTGGGCGATATCTTCGAAGTACCTCTGGAATGCGATGAAAAGATTTTTTTCATATTTGTTGCATAATTAGAATCATATCGTCAACTGTATGTGCTACTGTACTGTAAACTACAAAATATTCGTATAGCTGTTTCGAACAAGCAAGTGATTGTATTAATGTAGCTAGCTGTGTCGGAAGTTTGTAATGAACAAGATCTGGGTTTTTTAATTTTTGTTTAGCATTGTTTAGTCGATGATGCTAGAAAATATTTCGGTATCATTATATGTCCAAGTTATACAATTTCATCGAAAAACTAATTGACAGCGATACCCGCGACCAAGGCTCATTAGCTTAACTAAACTTCTTTTTCGTATGATTTGGTCTGTTTTCCAAGCATGTTTACGTGTTTTTGTTACTTGTTTCTTGTTGTGATTTCGTTGCCTGAAAAGACTTGATAATGTAGACTAGTGAGAATTTTTCTTATCTACAACGAACAAGGCAAATTGTAGCTATTTTGAGAGTGGAAAACCATATTTATGTAATAGAGGTTTTATCTGTTTATTTTAGACGCTGAATATTCCTGATGCGTACAACGATCCTCGATTCAATCCAATGGTAAGTTTCTATTGATTTGCTTCTTTCTTATTTTTCATAAAAAGCCATGCTTTTGCTTTTTGATATGCAGTGTCGTTATCCGCAAATTTCAATTGTGCTTTTCAACTTAACGCTTTTGTTGATTTTTTGATCTGATGTTGTCACATTGATTCAACACAGAAAATTTTGCCCAAACATGACTACATATAAATGGGTTGGTTAGGCCGCTAAAGGTTTGTTATCTTTATTGTATGTCTGTTGTGTGCATTGAACGTACTTCTGTTAAGGTTGATGAAATATCAGGATTTACAACGAAAACCATACTGTGCATGCCTATTCTCAGCTGTGGGGGCGAAATATTAGGCGTGGTTCAACTCCTGAATAAGATGGATAACACACCATTCAACACAAATGATGAAAACCTGTTTGAGGTAGGAATGTACACTTTACCTCGTTTCATATTAAACTGTGTCTGTATAGAAAGGTATTCTCTACTTAATGTTTTTACATTTAACGTGTTAATTATTGATATTGCTGTTCAACTGGTCTTTATTTCATCTCGTGATTCGTTTGTAGTAAATTGCCCGTGTGCGAGTAAAAGGGAGGGGTAGAAAGGTGTCAATCATGTTGTTCTTGTAGTGCTACTAGGAATGTGAGGTTGTTGTTGACGAAAAAAATACATTGTTATTATTGCTGTTAAAGCAGTTTTGTTGTGAGTTACTTAAGGGAGGCAAGGTAAATCCCAACAACTGGCACCTCCGACGGGATTCTTGTGGAGTAAATTAACTAGAAATAGTGAGTATGGCGGCGAATTTGCGAGTTAAATTAACACAACACCGTATTACAATGGAAAGAACAAACAACATTTTTGATTCAAACCGACGAGAGAATATCGAGAGACATCGTACATCACTCAAAACGATCACAAACAGTGTTAATGAAATAAGATTAACTGTCGAAGAGAGTAAAATAGAAGCGAATGAGGACATAGCGGAGATAACGAGATGGAACGAAGAACTCGATGAGAAATTAACTGACGCGGATAAAGAGATTGAGAGATTGCAAAAGTGACTCGAACGAAGTAAGCAAGAGAAAGAAAAGATCTTAAGAGAAGAACAGTTTACTCATGAAGCGAAATTAAATGAAATGAAGATGAAGTATCAGGAAGAATTGTCTAGCGCTAAAAATTTCAAAGGATGTTCCAGAATTGATAAAACGGGCTAATCGGGTAAATCCCAATTTACTGCAAAATTGCCGAAGCTGGTCATTTTGAAGTATATAGGAAACTATAAGGATTGGCCAAGGTTTTGGGCCAATTTACCGAAACTATCGACAAAACTAATATTGCACCAAGAACGAAGTTCACTTATCTGTGTGAATTACTTGACCCGAAGATAAAATCAGTACATGGAAGTTTCGAAATGTCTGTGAATTTCTACAAAGTGGATAAACCTGAGCTGGTTCTGATTGAAAATCTTCATTATGCCAAACTGATCAGTGATAATGAATATCTAGCTAAAGTTGACATTATCGACAACGATGAAAAGAATTAGCTTCCAGTTCATGTCATTTTCGGATGTGGGGAATATTCTGGAATGAAGAATCAATCCAAACCCCGAATCGGCAAAGACGGCGAACCAGTAGCAGAATTTACAAAGATGGGCTGGTTTATAATAAGCCCTGGTGCCAAGTTCGATCGACAAACGATGCTCTTAACACAAACAACACAATATGATATCGAGGAATTATGCCGTATGGATGTATTGGGACTTGCAGATATGTCAGAAAATGACCAAACCATCGCTCGTGCGGAATTCAAGGAGCAACTAGCTCGTATTGAAATTGGTTTACCGTGGGGAGGAAATCATCCAGAGTTATCAAACAATAAACGAGGAAGTCTGTCACGGCTTGAAAATTTAATGAAAAAATTACAGCTTAAAGGACAGTTACCCCAGCATATAGTAAGATTATTCAAGATCAACTCGAAGACAATATTGTCGAGAAAGCCCCGCAAGAAATGTAGGAAAGGAATTTTACATTCCTCACAAGGCAGTGGTGCGTGAGTCAGCTGCGACTACGAAGATGCGAATAGTGTATGATACCTCGGCGCGAGCACATGCAGACGCCCCTTCACTAAATGAATGCCTTAATCCAGGACCACCACTTCAAAACCGCTTGTGGGATGTTTTAATACGTCAACGGGCCTATCCAATTGCTGTGACTGGAGATATACGTCAAGCGTTCTTGCAAATTAGAATTGTAGAGAGTGATCAGGATTCCTTGAGGTTCAATTCGATATCAGGTGAAGCAAATGAAATTGTCACATATTGGTTTTCTTGTGCACTTTTTGGTTTAGCGCCCTCTCCATTTCTATTGAATGGTGTGTTAGAAGCTCACTTAGATTCGTGGGAAAAGAAACGACCTGAAGTTGTCGCTGAGTTACGCAAAAGCTTATATGTTGATGATATGGTTAGCGGAGGTGAAACCATTGAACAGGCACTGCGGACCAAACAGGATTCCATGGAAATTTTACATGATGCCATATTCTAACTTTGCAAATAGATTTCCAACCATCCAGAGTTGGAAGAAAACGCAGTTGTTGTTCCAGAAAATGACATACAAACGTATGCGAAGCAACAACTCGATGTTAAAGCAGAAGGGTCAAATATACTTTGACTTAAGTGGGACAAGCATAGAGATACATTCATCATAGTTTTTCCTGTAGAGAAGGTTCCATCAACGAAACGTGGAATCCTCAGAAAACTAGCCAGGATATATGATCCTCTAGGAATCGTTGCGCCCTTGACACTGACCGGGAAACAAATTTATCGAAAGATTTGTGAGTCAAAGTTATCATGGGATGCGCCACTGCAAAACAATACTCTGCAAGTTTGGAGAAATTGGAAACAGCAACTGCCGATCGAATTCGAAATTCCGCGTTCAATCGTACGATACGAAGAAGCTATGGAAGAAGTCGAACTACATGCCTTTGGCGATGCGTCTGCTGAGGGAATTGGAGCGGTAGTTTATTCAGTGATTAAACAACGTTCGGGTACCACCCGACAGCTTGTAGCACAAAAGGTCGTCTTGCAAAAAGGGGTTTGACAATACCTAGGTTAGAACTTATAGGTGCGCAGATGGCCACAAATTTGGTGGTGAACGTACGTAACGCTCTCTAGACCACGGACCCATACCACAACTTTATGGATGGATAGCTAGTATGGTTGCTTTTGCATTGGATTAAAAGGAATGGGTAGTACAAGCAGTTTGTGGCAAATCGAGTAGGAAAAATTCAGATCCACAAAGAAATTCAATGGCGATATGTTCCATCTAACAATAATCCCGCCGATTTAGCCAGCAGAGGAGGTTTGGTCGTGGATTCAACACTTAGGTAGAAAGGACCGGAATGGCTGGAAAATAAACATATATGGCCGGAGAATCGAGTAACGCACTCCTCTCCAGCATCTGAGAAAGAAGCAAAATTGATTCGAGAAGTCCTCACAATAGGGAAGATTGTGTCCGAGTTTGATGATCTTCGGCAACGAGTTGAGCTTCGGCGTGCGTTGAGAGTCTGTGTGTGGATAAGGCGGTTTGTCCATAATTGCAGAAATAACTTGAAGATACTCGGTCCAATCGAGACAGAAGAAATAGAGCGTGAGCGCATTTGGTTGATTAAAAGAATTCAAGAAAGTGATCGAAAGGAAGTGCACTATCCAAAGGTCAAGGCCGAGCTTGGTTTACAATTAAAAGAGCACAATACTGCATTCTGCCATGGTCGATTACAAGGAAAGTATGCAATGTATCTTCCAAGAAATGCAATGTTCTCGAAAAAGTTAGTTAATAGAGCGTATTACGACACACTCCACGAAGGAGTGGGGTAGACTACGGCAGCAATTCGCGAGACGTATTAGATCCTGAAACTGCGTACTTTAGTCAAGGCAGTTTGCAGAAATTGTAACGGTTGCAAGCGATATCGTTTTACAGCATTTGCGAAGCCATCTCCCGGGAAACTCCCTTTAGATCACACAATTGGCGCTGCGGCATTCGAGGTAGTTGGAATAGATTTCGCTGGTCCATTAAGATGCAAGCAGACACTCAAATAAGAAGGAAAGTTCTATTTAGCTATATTTGCATGCAGCCTTTCACGAGCTGTGTACCTGGACCTCTTGCAAAATATAGAGACGGGGACATTTATCATCAGCTTCAAACGATACATTGCAAGATGTGGAAGACCTTGCGTTGTGTATTCAGATAATGATGGAACGTTTTTAAAAACCGCAAAATGGATTTCAAACTTACGACGAGACTAGAAACTTCAAGGTCTATTGGATCTTCAGTATGAGATCGTTTGGAAATTTGTGCCCCGTAGTGGGGAGGACAGTTTGAAAGGTTTATTGCAGTAGTGAAATCAGGTATGTTTAAAGTAGTTGGCGAAGCAAACTTAACCTGGATAGAGTTAAGCGAGGTGATCCTCGACATCGAAACGCAAATAAACAGGCGACCACTAAGCTATGTTGAAGATGATGAGGAGTTACGTGCATTAACTCCAGAATCCTTTGTTCATCAAGAACTAATTTACTACCTGAACAAGACACATGTAAAATTGAAGAAATTGGGTTAAGAAAGCGTGCAAATTTCCTAAAAACCTGCAAGGAAGGATTATGGCGTAGATGACAACGTGAGTACCCAACAGCTCAAAAGGAAAGGCACAATCTAACGCATAAAGTAGGTAAACACCACCCAAAGCAAGGTAATGTTGTCATTGTTAAATCCGATAGCAAGAATCGTGGAACTTGGCCGTTAGCAGTGGTGAGAAAATCATACCCTGGGCGAGATGGAATTACAAGAGCAGCGGAGCTAAAGGTCACAAATGGTGTCATCGAACGTCCAGCTCAACTTTTATACCCACTCGAGCTGGAATGTGATAGTACGACAGAGTTGCCAAAAGCGAAGTCACTAAACCCAGAAGCCCCTCAGTTTCGTCCAAAGAGGGATGCCGCAGAGGGAGCAAGAATGAGGATCAAACAAACTCAAATGATGAACGAAAATGACATGTAATTCAATTCAGAAAAACTTGAACATTAAAAGCTTGAACGCTGTACTATATACATATCTGTTGTGTTATAACTTTGCTAAAACATATGCATCTTTAATAGAATGCATATGGGGGAGATAGTAAAGTAATAAAGTAAATGGTTTGAACCCGGGAGTATCGTTATATGTTTGTAAATGATGATCGTCCAGGTTAATAAAGTCCTGAGAAGGACTGTTTTTGATGTTGTTGACTGACGTTTCGACAACCTTAGCGGTAGTCATCTTCAGAGTCAAATGAGGAGTAAACGTCAGGTTAGCCGTATTTGTTGTCTGGTTCTTACGTCATTGTATTGTGTGTACAGGAAATGTGCAGGAAATGTGTATTGTCATTGTGGATTAGTGTGAAGTGAAATATTTTAATTTTAGTTGTGATGTGTGATTTAGGTGTGACGTTTTAGTTGTAGTGTGTGGGTGTCAATTGTGTATTGTCATTGTGAATTAGTTTGAAGTGTAATGTTTTTAGTTGATCGTTTGTTTGTATTGTGAATAAGTCGTTTGTAAGGTGCCGGTAATTGCTGTGATCTGTTCAGGGTTTGTTCCAAGTTGGTATACCAACTTTCTAATGTAAGCCGTTGTCTATAGTCAGTACTGTAAGTGATGCATTTTGCCGAGTCCCAGTCAATGTTGTGCTTTGTGATTCGGTGATGTTCGGCAATGTGATTAGTTTTGTCTTGTTTCTTAGTAGCTCGTTTGTGCTCAGTAAGTCTTATGTTTAAGTTCCTGCCAGTTTCCCCGATATAGGAGGCGTGGCAGTCGGAGCAGTTTATTTTGTAAACTGCACCTTGTCGTTCGTTGGGTTGTTCTTTGTCCTTTATGTTCGTTAGTACTTGTCGTAATGTTGTGATTGGTTTATGTGCGACACGTATGTTGTATGGTCGTAAGATACGCGAGATAGTCTCAGACGTACCTTTGATGTAAGGTATCGTTGCTGTTGTCACTGAGTTGTTCGTTTCGTTGGGTTCGTTGGGTTTGTAAGTGTTGCGTTTGATAAAGTCTGAGTTATAGTTGTTTTTGTCAAAAACACGTTTGAGATAGTTGTTTTCGTTTTGTAGAGCGTATTGGAAGTAAGGAACACACTACAAACAATTACATGGGACAGCAATGGGCTCGCCCGTTTCTGTTGTAGTTGCTGAAATTGTAATGCAATCTATAGAGGAACGGGCACTCATGACTTACAATACAAATACATTCCTTTGTATTGGAAGTAAGGAACACACTACAAACAATTACATGGGACAGCAATGGGCTCGCCCGTTTCTGTTGTAGTTGCTGAAATTGTAATGCAATCTATAGAGGAACGGGCACTCATGACTTACAATACAAATACAAAGGAACACACTACAAACAATTACATGGGACAGCAATGGGCTCGCCCGTTTCTGTTGTAGTTGCTGAAATTGTAATGCAATCTATAGAGGAACGGGCACTCATGACTTACAAACATGCACTACCTTTTTGGTTTCGCTACGTAGATGACACAATCACAGCACTACATGCAGACGAGATTGATGACTTCCATACTCACATCAACAAACAGAACAGCCACATACAATTTACCAAAGATGTCGAAGAAAACGGAACTCTTCCTTTTCTCGACTGTTTGGTAAAACATGACTATCAAAAACTAGGAACAACAGTTTATCGCAAGCCAACACATACTGACCGACTACTAGACCAATCATCTTACAACCCTACATCACACAAAGCCACCACAATCAGAACATTAACAAGACGTGCACAAATCATATGTGATTCACCGGACGCTCTACAAAACGAAAACAACTATCTCAAACGTGTTTTTGACAAAAACAACTATAACTCAGACTTTATCAAACGCAACACTTACAAACCCAACGAACTCAACGAAACGAACAACTCAGTGACAACAGCAACGATACCTTACATCAAAGGTACGTCTGAGACTATCTCGCGTATCTTACGACCATACAACATACGTGTCGCACATAAACCAATCACAACATTACGACAAGTACTAACGAACATAAAGGACAAAGAACAACCCAACGAACGACAAGGTGCAGTTTACAAAATAAACTGCTCCGACTGCCACGCCTCCTATATCGGGGAAACTGGCAGGAACTTAAACATAAGACTTACTGAGCACAAACGAGCTACTAAGAAACAAGACAAAACTAATCACATTGCCGAACATCACCGAATCACAAAGCACAACATTGACTGGGACTCGGCAAAATGCATCACTTACAGTACTGACTATAGACAACGGCTTACATTAGAAAGTTGGTATACCAACTTGGAACAAACCCCCCTGAACAGATCACAGCAATTACCGGCACCTTACAAACGACTTATTCACAATACAAACAAACGATCAACTAAAAACATTACACTTCAAACTAATTCACAATGACAATACACAATTGACACCCACACACTACAACTAAAAACGTCACACCTAAATCACACATCACAACTAAAATTAAAATATTTCACTTCACACTAATCCACAATGACAATACACATTTCCTGCACATTTCCTGTACACACAATACAATGACGTAAGAACCAGACAACAAATACGGCTAACCTGACGTTTACTCCTCATTTGACTCTGAAGATGACTACCGCTAAGGTTGTCGAAACGTCAGTCAACAACATCAAAAACAGTCCTTCTCAGGACTTTATTAACCTGGACGATCATCATTTACAAACATATAGTAAAGTAAATTGCCCGTGTGAGGGTAAAAGGGAGGGGTAGAAAAGTGTCAATCATGTTGTTATTGTAGTGCTACTAGGAATGTGAGGTTGTTGACGAAAAAATACATTATTATCATTGCTGTTAAAACAGTTTTGTTGTGAGTTACTCAAGGGAGGCAAGGTAATTCCCAACACGTTCTTGGTAGAATTCAACATGTGAATCACATTTGAATGTGAATATTATTTGTTTTAAGCATTTTTCCACAACATACATTCTTTCTGATTTTGACTTTATCATTTAAATTCACATCTTATGTTCATTTGCTAAAATTTCATCAAGTCGTTTTCGTGATTTGTGCACAAGATTTTCTTGAAAAAAACCTCCATGCAATTGTTCATGAGGACTCCTTAGAATTGAAAATTTCTTGTTTTATGCAACGTTGACAACAACAATTCGTGAGATTTTACTTTAAGTGTGCAAAGAAAATTAGTGAAGGGCTTTTTTCTAGTCCTGTTCTCGAATACTATCTGGATATAAACGTTGAATGAAGTTTTATTTCATCAAAATTTAACTAGTTATGCAACTAATTATACCATAGGCATAAGTGTCAAATCAGGTTATACTTAATTGTTAAAAATTAATTCAGTTGAATTGTTAAAAATAATCTTAATAACCTTTATCCTTAAGCACCGAACCTTTCATTTTTTAACATAAATTATTTTTAACATATAGATGATTTCTACTTTACTATTTTGTTGCGCATATCGGTACCAAATCCGTCATGCTATGTAACGTTATAATGCGTGTGAATATCCTTTTATCTTTCCACTTTAATGGGGATGAGAAAATGAACGAAATAAGTCTTACTGTTAAAAAGAAGACGTGATAATCGGTGTCAAAAAGGCGGTTCTGCGTCAGAAAATTGTTTAAAGAAAGAAGGGAAGTCACATCTTTCATTTCGTGATGTATAGAATGCATAATTTACTGATGTTAGATGAGTACCTTTCAGTTTTCTATCAACTGCTACTATTGATTTATGGTTTCTCCAGAATATTGGCTAAGAATAGCAAAAATGTTTGAAAGAACGTCTAAACGTCTAAATCGTGGAAGCATCATAGCAAGAACGTCTTTTCACAATCAAGGCATCGAGACGCTTTGGCAAGAAGTGACCATCATAATGTGTAGTTTGATTTCAATATCTTGTTCTGCGTAAAGTCCGTTGTAGCTACAATGAAACTAATGAACTTCATTGTGTCTTTAAAACTCTGTATGCATGCCCGTGATTGATGAGTTGTCTGAAATATGGAGCTGTCATTATTAAGCACGGAGGAAAATATAAGATATACTATTACGCCGAATATGTTTTAATAAATATTTCCCAAGATGCAACAGTTGCTTACCTAACGAGGGCTTTAGAAATTGCTCGCGTTCCACCTTTCAATGTCAACAACTAGAAGTTTCAATTCATCCTGTCAAAGATTTCTTAGATGCCCAGTCCACCGATGCATGCGGTGCTCCGTATAGATGCCGATAAAGTCGTTACTCTCAAATTTGTGTTGTCCTTTTTCATAACTCACGATAATTATGACCACCAACGTAAATTACACGAGGAGCTCGATGATGAAAACGAGGGTTATTAATCGACTGAACATAATTTTGAAATTTGCTATTTTACTACATTATCGATTATTCAGAACCTGTTACAGGCAAATTTTTCTATGAAGTTACAAATGACATAACATGATATGTTGATATATATTTTTCATTTTAAACAAGCCATCATAGCATTTACTGTTTTATTTGACTCGCTTGACCCTTGCCTAGTGCCGTGCATTTTTCTTTTTTGTTTTCGTATGTTGGTATGTGCCTTTTATGCAACATGGATAAGTCCTGTTGCATTTGCTTCAATCCTGCTTTGCAATATTTTCTGTGTATATTATCTTCGAGAACAAAAGACTTATAGAAAATAACGAATAACAGTGAACTGAAATTCATAAAGGCTACTGGCTGGATGTAATACTAAATGAGTAACATACAGGGGACAAGTGGTATGCATTTTTTACTGAATGTGACATCGCTTTTGATTATGCTCTTCATATACATGGAAAATTCGTTAGTTTGGTGAAATTGTTGACTTTATTTTTTACTATGTCTTAAGATAGATATCATTTCCTGTACTTGCTTACGCTCAAAAACTGAATAGCATGCGCCTACAAAACCTTTACATTGAATTCTATTGTGACTGTACTTGTATATCACGTTTAGGGTGGAAACTTAAAATGTGTCTTTTGTTTTTGTTGAACTACAAGAACTCCATTGTAATGTGTAATATCGTCATGTTTTTAGGCATTTGCCATATTTTGTGGAATGGCCATTCATAATGCATCTGTGTATGAGGATATTCAAAAAGCAATGGCAAAGCAATTGGTAGCTTTCGAGGTTGTATATTTGTACATATAGTTCTTAAGTAACGCTTCGTGCCAGGGACATTCGATTATGGTGTTGTCATCTTAGGTTCTCTCTTATCATGCAACTGCATCTGCCGAAGAAGTAAAGAAATTAAAGGTTATTCATACAGTACGTCTTCAATATGCCTGTCATACATGAATGATACTAGTTTAATTTCACTTTGTATTTGTAGAATATGGAAGAGTCTTTGAATATTCCAAGAAATTTATTTGACTTCAGTTTTGATGATGATGCGCTGGATGAGATTGGCACATGTCATGCAACTTTGCAAATGTTTTATGCTCTAGAACTTCATTCTCGATTCTCTATTGAAAAAGAAGTAAGCTGATTTTTGATTGACATTGCTTATACCATCTTATAATAGACACTGTTGGCCCTGACAGTAGACTCATGGCACCGAATATATGAGTTATGTGTACAGTGTTAGCAGATGTATTTTGGGAAATGTATTTTGGACTTAAGAAAAATTAAATAATGCTAACCGTTATTTTTAACAAATAGTATAGATCGAGAAGGTTATTCAAGAAATTTCCTTTGACTAAACAGCAAATTAATTGAAAGTTTTCTGAGAAGCTCTAATGTGACAATAATTGGACACATACACAGCATTCTAAGTATTTCTTTTTGTTACAAATTCAAACTACAGTCTTTAATGGCTCATTATAAAATATAAAATTGTTAAATGCAACATGTAAACTTCATGGTTATCCAATGGCACCGACGGCCATCATTGCTGTATTGATTTCATTTAACCTAATTTTACTAGTTAAGAGAGATAAATTCATGCTGAAATAAAGGTTTAAAGCTTGAGAGTTTTGTCTTATATTCCATGTAATCGTCCAGAATTGTGAGAAACGTATGGAATGCTACGCAGTTGTGAATTTTATGTATGCATTCATGCTGCATTATTGTATGCCACTAGTACAATTTCGATGAGTTTTATCGTAAATAGATCATTGGATCAGCATATATGATTTCATTCCAAAGCCATCAGAGAATATACATAATATTAATCCATAAGGTTTGATATTACGATTTCATTTTTATCAGGGTTTATATTATGCGTTGCTATTGTAGCCTTTTAAAAATGTCCTTCTTTTCGCAAAATTACTGTTGTGCGGCAATTTTACTGTAGAAAAAGCTCCGTTAGAATAGATTTCGCTTTGTCAGGCAGTTAAAAAGATATCTTTCTAAAGAATGACTTAAACTGAAATTCGTTATCAAAATGCCTCTGTTTTAAACGAGTTTCTTTTAGGTTCTTTGCCGTTGGATAATGTCGGTGAAGAAAAATTATAGACATGTAACATATCACAACTGGCGTCACGCATTTAACGTTGGCCAAACTATGTTTGCCATTATGAAGGTAATTAATCTGGTCATTACTTATGTAAGGACAAGCGATATGTAGAACGAATTGATGTCTTGTCTAACTGATGATTCTGGGCGAATGACGTATATCCCAGTCTACTAGATATCTAACTCTGCCGAACTTCTACAGTTACAAGCAAGGCAAGCTGCCATCTTTATGTGAAAACTGTGATGATATTTACGAGTAATATCTGCTTTTCCTGAGTTGATATACAGCTGCTGAGTTGAAAGGCTAGGTTTGGTTTTTTTTAATGTTTGATTGGATTGGTTTTTAAAACTTTCTTTTAGTTTATTTCTGCTTTTTGCCATCTTTCAAGATGACATCCTTGTCTCACCTTTACATAGTAGTTAGAAATCTAGGGGACTGGGTTCTAAATCATTGTTTGCCCTTTGGGCACCTTTGATGAATATTACTGCTTGTATGATTTGTCTGCATAATAAAATTTTCCATTAATATGATAAAACTGCCTTTGATTTGACCGATTTGGTACACCATTGATTTGACGACGTGCAAAGCAGCGTACGCATTTTAATTTCACCAAAGGCCCGCAAACGTTACCTGAAGTAGCCAGCCGTGTGAATATAAAAACAGCTCAAACCACTGATCTCGAAATAAGACAGTCAAGCAACTCTGCCTTCGCGGTAAACAAATTTCGAAGCCACAGCCGCCATCTCTAAGGGACCAACACATTGAAATATGTTTTGAAAAGACAACAAAACTATGAAAAATCTAGCAACGCATGGCTAAATCAATTTTTAATAGCTATAACGCTGAGGGTACAAAACACCTTTGACGCAATAGTAATGGGAGTCAGGAAGAAAACTCAGCCATCTAACAACAGTTTGTATCAGGCATTAAAATAAAGAAATTTTACAAGGACACACTTTAAAATAGCTATAACGCTGAGGGTACAAAACACCTTTGACGCAATAGTAATGGGTGTCTGGAAGAAAACTCAGCCATCTAACAACAGTTTGTATCAGGCATTAAAATAAAGAAATTTTACAAGGACACACTTTAAAAGCCCGGCGTTTACTTTTCCAATTATTGTCAGTTTGCTTCCCTATAGTTACAGATTTTTCACCCTGGCCACTAGAGGGTGAAGGTAAATTTACAGAAACTTTATTACTCTACTCTAAGGTGCCGAGGTTAACTTTTTTCCATGGTAAAACATGGTGTATTTCTTTATCAGTCTTGTACGAGCTAAAAATTTTCATTGTTTATTTTTATTGTTTCACAACACAATAGTTTATTATCTATTAAAACTCAATTTATGGGTAATAATTGTAATAGATGATTTTCAATACTTTTTCGTGGAATTGCTCCATTTTTAGTCCATATTGGGGGAATTTTTGCCTTGCATGCAAACATTTTGACAGTTTGGGGAAATGTAACACAAACTTCACACACTACTAATCTTTGGCCACGAGAATTACCACTGTACATGTATACTGGTCTCCTTGGCAATATTAATGGTAGTGCTCACTGGTAGTGCCTGAATTCGTTTGAGGGACTGGTTTCGCGGAATTTACTGCAATGTCCTCGGTCTCAACTCACTATCACTTTTAAGTTTCATACCAACTGATACAAAGTTTTTTAATGATTTATTTTTGAACGTACGTTCGAATTAAATCAGCAGTTGCACTTTCACATTGAGGTTGCTTAGAGTAATTGGGCATGCGACAATGTATACAATGTACATACTTCTCTACTTAAGGGTGAGATGTCTTTTTAGGAATAACAAACTTTTCCATGCTGTTGGCCAAAAATTCATATGTCACTAATGTCAGACATCAGAATTGTTTTGTATTATGCAATTTAGAATATAAATATCAAAGTAATCGAATTGCATTTACTGTTTAATGAAATATAGTGTTGTACCTGAAGCTGAAATAATATGTGTTTAAGTCTATATATTTAGATTGTCTCTGTCCTATCCATTCGATCATAATTCTTTGTTGAATGTTGATAATCGCTCACGCTACTTATTCTATTAAAGAACTTAAATAGTTGGAATGTTATTAAACAATACAAAGAAAAGTGGCAGAATACTTTATACAACAACTATAAACAATAATGACCTTATGTAACAATATTTGAATATTAACCTTTCATTACTCTTCATTGTGAACGAGACAAGTCTGCTCAAAAATAGAGAGTGTTGCGTTACAAGTGCCGAGCTTGTGACCGATATAGCAGAGTTAAAAGATGAAAGGTATATCATAGACTAATCAACTGAGTATTCCTGTTTATTTCACATTGGTATTACATTCATTCTTTTCCAGTGGGAAGCGTGATGCTTTCACTGAAGGGCGATGATATATTGTCTAACATTAACACCGGATTATGTTACTGTATATTTAATATGGAATTCGAGCTTTGTCCATATGAACTGTTTAACATGCTTGCACAAAAATAAAAAGTAATATTCAGTTTATTAGTATATGATAAACCTTTCACCTTTTGACTCTGCTTTACCACTCACAAGCCAGGGAATTGTAACGCAAGACTCTCTACTTTTGAGTAGACTTGTCTCGTTAACAAGGAAGAGGAGTGGAAGGTTAATATTTAAATGTTGTTAGATAAGGTCATTAATGTTTATATAGTTGTTGGATAAAGCATTATGCTATTTTTTGCAAAAAAGAATAGATCATATTCTAATTCTTTTTCTAGAGGACACATACTTTCATTTACAAGGACACATTTTTAATTTACAAGGACACAAAGTGTGTAAAAAACACACTTTATTTTAATGCCTGGTTTGTATGCATTTTTCACTGGCAAAAAGGTTGTAATTATTAAGTTTAGTTAGTTGTAAATGAGAATAGTTCATCAGTCCGTATTTCTTGAACGACAATTCATGAGATATTTAGGTCATTTCCATGTAGTTTTAGGCCTTGTACCACAGTTTGGTAAATATATGACAGTAGACAACCCACTTTTCCGCATTATTGTAATTTTTATAGATGCATTTATGTGACAAAGTGCCTGTAAACTACTTACATTTTAAATCCGTCAATGGACTGTTGTAAATAAAGAGTTGACGGATCAAATCTTTTTAGCATTTCTCTTATATTTCTGCACTTTTTCACACTCTTAGTTAGCACTTGTCTGCATCCTGAATGTGATAATTGTCGATGAACTTCCAAACAATCTCATCCAGCTCCTGCTCTGTAAAATCAGTATATTCCGCACCAACTAAATTTTTTGGTCCATTCCTTTTCTAACACTCACTGTTGACTCCTCAAGCATTCTTTGTGCCTTATGATAAATGCTATTGACAACAGAAAATCTATTTGGATTTAAAATCGACTTTCTTTTAGTTGTAAATCAAGTTTTTGTTCAAAGAATCACAACACTGGTGAAACCAACTAAGTTTTTCTTTGAACTTACTGACACAAATAACAAAAACTAAAGCAATACCGTATGTAATGACTTTATCATGAGATGGAAATTTTTAGTGTACGAGTAATCAAATGCTGTATGTCGTTCTTGATTTCATTTTTGTATACAGTCTCTGTTAAAGTCAAACGAAGATAAACCAGCTCATTAATAATTTCTTGACTGGTTTCATTAAATTAAATATTTTTGACAGCCAATTGAAAAGCCTTTTGATCTCTTTTTATATAAAGCGCTTGACGATAACTTCACTACGCTTGTTACTTCGGGTTTAGTTCGTGAGCCTTTTATCAAATCGATAATGCACTCCGTCCAAGTACGTCATCAAATAGTGTGGCTTTGTCAAATCAAATGCATTATCAATGGTGCATGTATTTGCATCGTGTATTGTAGTTGTATCAAACATACTCTCATAATATACAATCCGCTTAAAATTATGTATTAGACAAAACGTTGATGTGTCATTTTCTGTCATGCTACTTTTGCATACTTTTATTTAAAATGCTTCTTACTCGATAAGGGTATGATGTCCTAGCCACCAATTTTCCCAAACTTAATAATTTCATTCTTCACGAGTTAGGAGAATGCTATAAATTCATTGCATTGCTAGTATTTTTATGATGTAGCTTGTAAGGAAGCATGGACTCCCCATTTTTTACATTAGCAAAAAATTTATTGAGTAATAATTATCGTCCCATCTTTAAAGTTTGATTTTATGCTAACCCTTCTTCTCCCACGCACACTTTGGAGCAGGCCCCATTGTCACTGTATCATGGTCACTGAAGATCATCTTGTTGTGGTGATTCCAGCCATTGTGTGATTATGTTTTGTTTTGTGTAATTACTGTTTATCATGCCGACTCTAAAATAATGTTGTTTTTCGTTGTTCTTCTTTAGAACGCTAGTATTTCTAGCTATTTCTCTGATATTGAACGCTTAGCGCTGATGGTTGCTTGCCTTTGTCACGACTTGGATCATCGTGGAACCAGTAATTCATTTCAATTGAAGTAAGCTTTCTAACTATTATTTTCCACTAATTTTAGAGTATATGTGTATATGCCTTATGAAATAAAATTTTTTTAAATTTAAATAGATATATTGAACTTATGTGTTTCGACTTTAGCCATCATCAGAGAGATTATACATAATATTAATCCTAACACGTTTTTACATGCACATGAAAAACATGTGACTTTGATGAGATTTAAACTCGCACTTTCGGGATACTAGTCCGCCGCTCTACCTGTTGAGCGACCAAGCCCACAGGGATTAGAGACGAGTCAAATCTCTTAAAACTACGTATGGACGAGAAGTTCTCGCCACGATAGCAGTTACTGGATGGCACCGTGTTTCGACTTTATTCCATAGCCATCATCACATGTAAAAATCGTGTTAGGATTTATATTTTGTATAATCTCTCTGATGATGGCTTTGGAATAAAGTTGAAACACGGTCCGCTTGAGTTACACTCCAGTTTTGCTGTGGCCGCTTGCACAAAGCCCGGATAGTAGTGACCTTAAGTTTTACGACGGTAACTAGACGATGGTGGTTATTGGACTTGGTCGAGTTTCACCGTCGTGACATTGCGCGAAATTTAAGATTTATAAACATTTAAGAGGTTGATTCGTATTATAAGGTAAAATGACGACTTTCAAAAAAACGAGTAAAGTTTTAATCGCAAACTATATTGACGATGTAATCGAGGACGAAGAGTTTATTTTGTTGTACGATTCTAATTTTTCAAAAAGTCCAGAGTTTCCTTATCACAAATATGGGAGATTTAATTTGGAAAAACTTGACAGCACTGAGTGTGAAGCTGAATTGCGATTCAGAAAGAGGACATACCCGAGCTTGCTGAAGCGCTTGGAAAACCGCAGAGTTTCCACTGCCCTCAAGGGTCTAAGGCGGATGGTATCGAAGGATTATGCACTGTTTTGAAACGCTTTTCTTATACATGCAGATACTATCATACATGCAGACATGATACCCTTATTTGGCAGAGCTGTTCCTGAATTGAGCATAATAACAAACGTTGTTGTTGAGTTATTTTTGATCATCACTCCCACAGAATCTGTCAGTGGAATGAAACTATTTTCAGTCCTCAAAATGTTAAGGAGTATGCGAACTCAATTACATTATGGGAGCTGCCCTAAACAACTGTGTGGGGTTTGTTGATGGCACAATTCGAGCAATTTGTCGTATAGCAAAAATGCAAAAAGTTGTGTACAATGGCCATAAACGTGTACATTCACTAAAATTCAAGTCCGTTGCTCTGCCCACTGGAAAGATTGGCCACTTATATGGACCTATGGGTGAGAATGATTGCAATTCTTTTTTAAGGACTTTGAGCATTTTCAGGATATGCATTAATGAAAAACTCATTTTTTATAATTCATTTTGTATTTTTATAATTCATTTTGTATTTTTATTTAGAAGGGAAAAGACATGATTCTTTTATGCTTGCACAATCTGGTCTATTACATCAACTTCAAACACATTGCTTCACAAATAAGGGTTTACCTTTCTGTCTTTATGGAGATCTTGCATACCCTTTACGACTTTACTTGCAGGCTCCATTTAGAAATGCTAATTTGACTGAACAAATGAAAGAATTCAACCAATCGATGAGCAAAGGTGCATATTGCAGTGGCTGTTTGAAGACATCATATACTATTTCAAGTTTATGGATTTTAAAAAGAACTTAAATATTGGCTTGTGAAGTATTGGAAAAATGTACATTGTTTGTGCAATTCATAGAAATGCCTTAACTTGCCTTTGTGGAAATCAAACCTCTAAATATTTTGAACTTAGTCCTCCAACCTTGCAAGAGTATTTTGGAAACTACTGAATGACATTTGTAACAATAAAACTCATTTCAAAGTACATGTACATAAATGCTATAACATAACTTTTCTTTTATAAAAAGTTTTCTTTTATGAATGGTTCTGTTAGAAACAAATTTTAAACTGTATTACCGAAACAAAATTCAAGACATAAAGGAAAGTGTCTTCACCGTTTTCTCCATCATTATTCTCTTTCTGTGCTTTCTGCTTATATATATCCTTTTGAAGTGTTTCTGCAGCATTTTCAACTTCGATATTTTCTTCAAGGGCTTTATCAACCTCACTCACGTCAGTCTCAATACCACTAGCTGCTGCTTCTTGCCTTATTCTTTTCCGAAAATCCGTTGCCAGAAAGTTGTATCTTTCCCTCACTGACCTTTGATTTACTCTAAAATATGTGTTGCAAGTTGTTCAGGTGACAGGCAATCTCATTCCATTCGCTTCCCCTTTGCATTGTCCTTCTTCGGGTTCCACTAAATGGATCAACGACAATGATTTCTCGGCACAAAAGCTCATCATTTTCTCGGGACTAACTTATTTGCTTCCTAAAATGAAATATGTATAACACAAACTTGAACACAACGATTTATTAAAGCATCCAGCTTATTTGACGCAACAGAAAAAAGAGAATATAGCAGTATGTCTTGAAAATCAAAAACATAGTACTTACTGCTTTGATTCCATTGAAACAATTGTGGTACGTTTTCCAGTCTACGGCAAATCGATTGAGATCAATGGAGATGGCGTCGTCGTCGCTGAGTGCGCGGTGGCCTCTAACAAAAGATTGTAAATGCGCATGCTCAAGAATCTTAATTACTTCCTGTTACCGTCGTCGAAATAAACAGTCGTAAAATCTTAAGGTCTATAGTGTTATCTATTGGATAGCAATTTTTTTAAACTTTTATAAAACTTTTAACGAGCAAAAAAAATAAGATTTGAACTGAGCAATCACTGAAATAAAATATTGTTTCGAAGATTACGAAATTTCTTTGTCGTGTGAAAAATATAAACACCTTTTTTATAAGATTGAAAATTTTTGCTATCCGATGGATAACGCTATCCAGGCTTCGTGCAACCGGTCCCTGGTATTTACAATCAATGTCTCTTGCTGTTAAAATTCGTTAGTTGTTTGCGAAAGGTGGCGCCATTTCTTATTTGCATTCAGCTAGATGTTTATATCTCAAGCCATAGGTCATAAAAAAACGTTGCTTTGTAAGAATTATAACGGAATTAGTCATTAAAAGCTTTCCAAAACATAAAATGATCTCCATTTTCAAATAAGCGCCACAACACGAGAAGAATTAAAGAGAATTTTTATCTAAAGTGTAGCGAAATATTAACTGTTAGCTGTTTACACGACAATGCGTAGCGCACCGTTTTCGTCGGACTACGTTAAAACAGAGCAATTTGCACTCCATAAAAAGTAAACAATTTCTAAATGTTTGGACAGGTACTACATGTCATTATCAATACAATATTCTGTATATATAGCATTAATATACACCATTTTACTATGGTGATAACTGGGAGGGCACATTGTTTTACACTTTTTATTTATAAGTTTAAAAAAGGACCATAATTCTCCTTCCTTTTTTTCTGTTTAAAACATTGAACTAAATATAACTGGAAGGCTACCTAATGATATATCGGTAACACACAAAATGAAGCCAACTTTTGCGTGATCTGAGTCAAATCACGCGAGTTCAGCTTTGCGAGGCGTGATTGTAAACCGTAAAAGCGAACCGTAGACGGCCCCCAAAAATCATTTAGCTAGCTTTTTAAACTATATATATTATAAGCTTGAAAATTGGTAATCCAGGCATTTCATATATGAAAATGAAAGACAATCCGGACACATGCCTTTATATAAAGTAAAAATACGTAAAAAACAAACAAGAATTCAAAATAGTAATTACACTCACTAAATAATCACTAAAAAATCGGATAATTTTTCTACATGAATCCATACTTAGCTTATAAAAAAGACCACAAAAATCCCGAAAAATATGCGTGAAAAATTTTTCTGTCTTCATGCTGGATGCCTCACATTGGTGCATACGACATTACTTTCAAAAGACTTTCAACTGCAATTGGCTGAAATTTATTTTTTTAATTTTTTAGCCAATTACAGTTTAGAGTCGTTCGGGACAACGAACCTACGTAGTTCCTTCGTAAGAGAGGAATTGCCTTTCTTCGTAGTTCCTTCGTAAGAGAGGAAGTTCCTTCGTAGTTCCTTCGAACCTTCGTAGTTCCTTCGAACCTTCGTAGTTCCTTCGAACCTTCGTAGTTCCTTCGAACCTTCGTAGTTCCTTCGAACCTTCGTAGTTCCTTCGAACCTTCGTAGTTCTTTCGTAAGAGAGGAAGTTCCTTCGTAAGAGAGGAATGTTAAGACAGAAACGGGGAAACTAGTTATTCCCGATGAACAATTTATTTGTGTCATTGTATTTTTTACGCAAATTAGGTGATTGTTTTGAGGCGTTTAAAATTGTGCTATCTCTTCTGCGAAAATTTCTCAATAATTTAAACTTCAATACTCATTTGATAAAAAGATTACTTTATGCTTGGTTCGTTTGTACGATTTTTATTATGCACTTGTTGAGAAAGATTGAATAAAAATCGTACGCACTCTACGCACTCACCAACTATGCAGTAATCTATTGTCATACATAATTTGAATACCGTAGAGCAACATGAGAAATATTTTCGTCATCACCATACATTTAAATTGCATGACTACTTAAATGTGAGTTATTACATTTGGGATATTTTTATGTAGTATTTTGGTTTTTGGTTTTTGTTAGAATCGACTCGCCATTAGCGCGCCTTTACAGTACGTCTACCATGGAGCATCATCATTTCGACCATTGTATCATGATCTTAAACAGTCAGGTATTTGTGAATTACAATTAATCTCTTGAATATTACAAATATATATTTGTTAATATGTATTGATTTATTTTAATCGTGCTTCTTTTTCTATTGTACAGGGCAATGAAATCTTTGGTGGGTTAACTGCTGAGGAATACGAGGACGCGTTTACGATGTTAGAGCAATGTATATTGGCTACTGATTTAGCGTTATATTTTAAGTGAGTGTTTTTAGTAACAATTTTGCTTTGTATGATCTTTCATAAAAGCACTTGTTCTCAAACAGAGGGGTAGAGGCTCTGTCTCCAATCCAACTATAGCTCGCTACTACGCTGCTACAATCATGAATTTGTTTTGAAATGTTTTGGCTGTAAAACAACTATTTGCGCTACGTATTTTATATGATAAGATGTTCATTGCGTTATTGTGCTACATCTTTAAATCTAACACTGCTTTTGCTGTTTTAGACATTAGCTATTCTATTCAGGAAAAACGCCGCCTGAAGTCATTTTTCTCAACCTTTTTTGCTAAAGTATCGGTACAGACTAAAATGATTTCGGTCAAACAATGATAAATTTTTATGAAAAATATTCATTTAGATAATTTTAGTACATCGTCAAATTTTTTATTGTCATGAAAAAGATATCCTATCAGGTTAATGGATTTTCTTTGTTGTTTCCATACTTATGTCTGGAACTATTGAAGTGTTCGAGAATATAGGGTTTTCTATTATACGTACTTTCTACTTTCGTTTTTTTCTTTTATTAATTTTTTTTATAAAGTACAAGTAGATTTGCATCATAACAATGAAATAAAACCTGATTTTTATTTCGATTTTAAGATATGCAAATTTTAGAAAACGACTGAACGCAACTCTCTACACTCTAAAAACATCCTGGTTAAAAATAACCAGGATGGGGTTAAATTTTAACCAGGAAAGTATTCCAAATGGGACCAACGCAATACTGGTTATTTTAACAAGGAATCGGGGTTAAATTAATTAACACAATCAAAAGAAGTGTACGTATTCTCAACTAATTATTTAAGATCAATGGTGTTTGTCCAGGCTAGTGCTTCGTTTTTATCACTCGGAGGTTGTCATGAGCTGCATGCAATATACTAGTTGTTTTCCCCACTCCTTAAACTAATGACCACATTTAAATAGCGTTTTCCAACGATTGGCATCTTCTCAAATGTTCTACATATGTATATCTACACCCGAAAAAGTTTGTTTTATTTTTTTGTTTCTGTAAAAGCATTAATGGCGCAAATTATAAACAAATTTTGACTATTTCGTCCCGAAAATTAGTGAGGCGCCATTTTGATTTTTTCTTAACCTGGATCCTGGTAGTACAGTGAACTGCACTACAGTGTTGAACTAAAAATTAACCCGGTTTTAACCAAAATCTGAGTTAACTTAACATATTTGGGGTTGAAATTCATTCAACTAGGATTTTTTAACCAGGATGTTTTTAGAGTGTAGTACATATATATCCATGACCAAAATTTTTATGTTAAAAAAAATCCATTATCTACAATTTCACGACATCTTTTTTTGATATGATATCAATTTGAGCCGCTCTTTTGAGAGCTCGTTACGTCATCGATTTGACATTTTTAGCTGGTTAAACACGAGCTACATTCAATGGGTAAATTGTCGTTATACTGAACTTGCGTGGCTTAAAGATGAATACATAGATCAACTAGGCATTGTCGAGTAGAGTGAAATCTCATATATAGCGAATAAAAGCGAAATTTTCTTCAAATGTCGTTTTTTTATAAAATGGGTTCATTTCAACTTGCTGACGAGACGTAAATGTTCATGGGCAAATCCCGAGCTCTGGATTTTGATGTTGCGCGAGACAAAGTGGTTTAACCTATTCCACATGAAATATAACAAAATGATTGCTGAATGCTGAGCAGAACACTCAGAAGTATTTGAGGCTTACCTGTTTAGCGAGAAATAAACTATGTCAGTTGAGCTACGGAACTTTATCGTCGCATTTTAATATCATCGTAAATCTTACAAAGAATTGATTGAACTTCAAACCACATGTAAAGTGTCGTGCACATATTGCTTTCTTGCATGCCGTGTGTTCAATGAAGAGTGAAATCCAGGTCTGCAATAAAAGACTTGATGTATTGTTTTTCATTGTATCTACAATCATTTAAGCAACCGGGTACAGTGCAATGTTCGCATTTATAGGCATACGTCGAAATGCCAATTTTTATAAAAAAACTTGACATTTTAGTAAAATTTCGCTTTTTGTCGCTTTATACTCTACTTTACATTATTTTGTGACGGATTGTTTGCCCCCTAGCGATACCAGAATGCATCTTGAAACCCTGCAAAGATTGGCAAATGGCAACTTACCTATTGCACGAGACAACATATGCGAAAAAGAAAATGTTCGATTTTGGTTTGGAACTTGCTAGTTTGAAAGGTTAATGATTTGAATAATGGACTGAATGTTTGCCACCATGGGGCAATTGCCATAAATATAGACGTCGCTTTCCTTTTTTTTAACGTAAAACTGCTTTTGATGAAGCATAATTCTACAGCAATGGTTATCGTTGTTTTCTCTTTGCTGAAGAATTGTGCAAACATTTGTTTTTATTACGATCAGTTTAGAGTCTTCTTGTACGCAAAAGCTAAGATCATGTATTATTCTTATGGTTCCCATAGCGGAAGAATTACAATATTCTCTCCATTGAAAACGTTTAAGCTTTCTTTAAATTTCATTTCTTCCGAAAACATTAAGCGGAACCTGCTTCACTTATTGCACCCTTTAATTTCTTTGGGAAAGGATAGAAAAACTGTTAAATCAAATGGAGAAACATATTCATCTGAGCACTTTAGTGTAAGCCTCTCGCGCTGACATGCGAGCAGATGTCATTGCTGGCTACAGTGTTACGTAAAAGATCTGCGTTGCGTATTTCTTTGTCATCTTTGCAAAATTAAGCCATCTGTATGGATGTGCTTTTCTGTTTACACTACCATATCTTTTTATTTCTGCTATGTCTATTGCTTCATTGGCAATTTACTTACAAATTTTAGACGAATAAGATTGCAAGGGTATATTTTTGTTTATTGTAGTTCAGCAAATGATTTTCTGTTAGCTATGTGAAAGTTTTTATTGAAGGTTCACTTGTGCCATAAGAAAATTGACCATGTGTCTTAGTTGGCCGTGCTTCATTTGATTTTGTGGGGGGTTTTCTTGTACGAGTACCTTCAGTGTTACAGCTTTTTATTAAACATGAACTTTTTTTAATGGGTCTCCAAAAAATAGCTTGTATTTTCAGAAAGTGCTGGATTTCCAACACATTGTCGATTGCTAGTATGCTGATGCACACAATTGTATTTATGAAATATTCTTCATGCAAAAGAGCTCTTACAAAAATAACAAGTACTGCTTGTTGCTCTGTGTCTTGTTATTTTGATCGACCTCTTAACGATTGCATCACCATTACTGGCATTTGTAATTATACATCGTAGATTGTGACAGATTCAACTAATTTCAGCTTTGGTTTTTTACAGAAATAGAAATCGTTTTTTTGAGCTGACTGGCCATCATAGAGCAGATTGGCATGAAAAAGAAAATAAGCAATTATTAAGGTATACACACTAAGCTGTCAAAATACATCGTCATTTTTATGAAAATTTAAAGTCTGCATGATATGTGCAAGAGTAACAGAATATTAATTCAAGTAAGAATTAATTAAAGCATTTAAAGTAAGTAAGCATAAGCTTACGCTTCCTGTATAGGAAATCCTTCACGTTTCACATTTACTTCCTAAAACTTGAAGTTGATAATGGGAAATGCGTCCATATATCTTGCGGTAACATGCATAAAGTGTATGAAGAAGAATTAAATGTGTACGATGAGTGAGAATCTGATCGGTATTTTATAAAAAGGATTTTTTACATACATTTAGTGCTATGATGATGACTGCGTGCGATGTATCGGCGATTACTAAACCTTGGGCAGTCCAGAGAAGGGTGAGAGATTTGACTTGGTACATCTGCATGATCTTTATTATCGTCAATAATATATACTGTGAATGGTTTGAACCCGGGAGTATCATTATATATTTGTAGATGTAAATCGTCCAGGTTAGTAGAGTCCTAAGAAGGACTCTTGGTGTTCATGTTGACAGACGTTTCGACAACCTTAGCGGTGGTCGTCTTTATAGTCAAATGTCACTTACACTCTACAAACATGAACGATGTACATCTTCTACGGATGCAAACGATGCCAAAATTAACCTCCTTTCGATAATCATTTATCTCTGCAACAACGTAATTTCTTTGCCTCTGGAGAAAAATTTAAAAATTTACCAGAACAAGGAAAAGTGCTTAATAAAAAACACTATCACGTTTTTATGACGTCAATCGCACTTTCTTGGAATCTGCACAGCATTGTTGAAGACAATCTACCAGTCTCTAACTAAATTTTACCCCTATTTTACCCAAATGGTTTCGTAACATAAGAAACTAGATATTTCCTGCTAAAGTGACGTAATTAGGAAACTTGAAGCCAATAATTAGGGAAGTATGAATTCATACTTAAGAAATAAAAGATGTTTACTGCGATTGCACGGGCTTGTGCAAATCGAGGAGACTATTGGGAGAACTCGAGAGCAGATCAGTGCAAGCTCGAGACCGAAAGTCGATGGTTGCACATGCTCGAGAGTTCTCACAAACGTCTCCGAGGTTTGCATAAGCCAGTGCAAACACGAAAAACATCTTTTATTTCTTTTATAAAATAACAATAATGCGAAAAAAGACGAACTTTTATTTTTTCCTCTAAAATATATTCATGACGATTTGCAAATTCTCTTTAACTGATTGTTTGTTTAGATTGATTTGATTGGTTGAGCTCAGATGCGTTTTGCGCTTGCTAATGCAAACTCAACTCTAGACCAATCAGCGCACGCGTTTTATTTCCTAATTCTTCATCATTTTAAGTAAAAGAAAACTACAAGACACGCAAATTGCAACTTTATTAAACACACCTTTGTCTTGTCGTGCAATTTAAGGTCAATTTGATACGTTATTTATGAAATGCAACACAAAGCCAACAGAACAGTTGGAGTTCTGAGACAAATATGTTTCAGTCTATACGATTCATCAATCCCAAAATTGAAAAATTATGAATTAGCCAAAAAAGTGACGACTTGTGCATTTATCATAAATATCTTGGGGTTGAGATGTGGTTCATTTATTTTAGGTTGCAAAGTTAGTTTCTGAAGAATTTTTCCTGCAAGGTGACTTAGAAAAAGAAGAGTTGAAGGAACGGCCTGCTGTAAGTTAGTCAATATAAAATGTTTTTAAGAAATTTTTGGATATTTTGTCATTACGTTTACGTTTCTTAATACTTTCAACTTACCTAAAGATTGCTTCCGTTTGAAAGCATTTTATTACAAATTTGTACTCAAATGTGTTTGTGTGGATAGTGTTGAAGTAAAATATTGCTTGCGAATAAATATAGCCGCAGGAACTACATACACTGCAAAATGTGGCTCAATACGCCACCAAGGAATCTTGCATCGTGCTTTACATCGTTTCAAGATTCAAATTTGTTTTTTGATTTTGCGATGTCACGGGCACGGTAACTTTTTGCCAACACTATGAGGTTCATGCCGGTTGCCAATCTCCATAAATTTTTGCGGTTTTTTCAATGCATTCTAGGGCCCATTATGTTAGAAATATTGCTGTGATTGTGTTGTCAAAGTGCAATATCACCCAATGTTCTTAAATGATTAGCAAGAAGTATAGCCTCCAAATGTACACATTATTTGAAAATGTGTTCTCTTTGTGTTATGATTTTTTGTTATATTTAATAATTTTTTAATAACCATTATAAATGAAAGCAATGAAGTGAGTAAGCATTTTTTATTTTTTCAATAATGAATATGGAAGCAAAATAATATCACAGTCAACAATACCTCTAAAGGAATGTCCGCTTAATTAATTTTTAATTTGTAAATCTTACCAGGATATGATGGATAGATGCAAAAAAGATCAATTGCCAGAGATGCAGGTTGGCTTTATTGATGGCATATGTTTGCCTGTTTACAAGGTACTAATAGCCATAAAAAATGTTCATCTGTTATCGTGATGCTTTAATCTTTACAAATATCAAAAAACATTTCAGAGCTGATATATCCCTAACCTTTGGAACTATTTTAAAGCAGTATCGTAGCAAACCCACTATGTTGCTCATGATATGTAAATTTCAGATCACTAGCATAAATTGTCTTTAGAAATTTATTTTTGAACGCGGAAATATGTACATAACGTGACCGAACTTCCGAGATGGCTACGCCACTGTTTTTATACAATTTTGAGATACGCATATGCTAGCCACCAGCCTAACACAAGTTTAATTTGTCCTATTTTAGATATTACCCGTATGGCACCCCCCTCCTCCCCATTAAAACAGTGACTGAACTTAAATATAATTACAATCTTGTCATTCATAAAAGATTTTGAATAGTTATCAGAAATTTTTCGTACACAAATTGTTTTATGTGTACAAAATGTGTAACAGACACTTCAGGTCATGAATGCAATAAATAAAAATTTTCAAAAAAATACGTAATTTAATACAGGTTGAAACGAAAATTTGTTGCTAAGGGTTCATGACATAGCTATGCGATATAAACCATTATAAAATAAAGACAATAAAACGCTTGCGGCGATTGGTCTAGAGCCGTGTTTGCATTAGCCTGTGCAAAACACATCTGAGCTCAACCAATCAAATCAATCAAAACAATCAATCAGTCAAAGAGAATTTGCTAATCGATCATGAACACATTTTGGAGGAAAAATTGAAATGTTTGTCTTTTTCGCATTATTGCTATTTTATTAAAGAAAAAAAATGTTTTTCGTGTTTGCACTGGCTTATGCAAACCTCGGAGTTGTTTGTAAAAACTCTCGAGCATGTGCAACCCTCGATCTTCGGTCTCGGGGCTTGCACTGATCTGCTCTCGAGTTCTCCCAAAGGTCTCCTCGCTTTGCATAAGCCCGTGCAAACACAGTAAACAACTTTTATTTCTTAAATGAAGTATCTCAAAATGTTTGCAGTAAGTTGTATGTTGATGTAAAATGACTCTTCGCGTACAAAGGCAGAAAATTTCACTCCACAACTAAATTCTGCACTGGAAAAACACTAAAACACTGGAAAACGTAGCCAAACCCTGAAACTACTCATATTATGTCGAATGAGTTGAGAAATACGATTTTATCATCATATAGGCTTTTGCACAACTTTGTCCCGAGTTACAAAAGCTGCTTGACGGCTGTTTAGACAATAGAAGACGTTGGTCAGAACTAGCCGATACGCAAAGGAAAAAGATGCTGGAGGATTGACGCTGCTATAATACGAAATGATACGTTCTACACCAGCAACTGCCATCATTTTGACGTCTGGCCTTGTAGACCACTCAGGATTTTTTTGCTGGGCTGAAAAGTTTAGCCGCTTAAAAACCATCGAGCTCCTGGATAATATTATACAATGAAAATACGTTTTAAGGTTACCCGAAGATTGCTTGGTGTTGTAGCTCACTACATGAGTGTGTGATGCGTGTGTGTTTGACGCCATTTCTGACGTTTCGCACAGAGTCCCCTGTTGTATTGCGTGATCATTCTGGATATCGGCTATAAGTTATTCATTTAGTTTCTGCTTCTACTTGTCTATTATTTTCACGCTACAAGGAACACGTTAGTTTTCTATATCTCATTTATTTTGTAATTTTACGTGACAGACAAATTTACTCGAGTACACAAGGATTTAAAAAGGGAATTGTTTACGTATTGAAACATCTTTTACACTTCAAAGAATACCATGGTGTCCATGACTAAGCCCAAAAGTACTCGTTCACCGGCCCCATGTACAAACAACTGTTGCGAAGTACACGCGCCTGATGACGTAAATCGTTCTGGTTAATTGCGCGTTGTTTTTCTGGAATCAAATGAGCATAGCTTTTTGAAACGACATTTTCTTGTAATGTTCCCATTTGACCCATGTCCTTTAAATAAAACTCACGCGCTTGCGCGTTGTCCTTTTCATTTTCAAGTTTGCGTTGACATTGTATTCGGAGTTTTTCTTCATTACGCCTTGTCATTTCATTCTTCAAATTAGAGGAAAAAACCTCATTAAACAATCATTAAAGTGGAACGTTGTATGAGGACTTAATTTAGGAAAGATTCTTAGATCAGCCAAAGTTAATGGCCTAGGCATGGAGAAAGATTTTGTATCCTTTATGTCCTTTCTCAAATTGCAAGTCGTCTCTATTAGCAAAATTATTAATAATAATTTGTTTCGTAGTCTATAACTATCAGTCCTCTATTGCCGGAAAAGTTGACAAATACAAATTTACGTACAATAGAAAGCAACGGTCAAACATGTTGAAACTGCAAATCATGTCGTGCTAAATGTCGTTGTACATTTACAGTATCATGAATTCACGTAGTCTATGTCGTGTATTCAATTACTGCTAACTTTTCCAAGATTGTGCACACGAATCTAGGCGTGACGTAATCTCTGTATCTAAGTGGCGTCGTCAGGTTGTTCAGACTGGGTGTGCACGTGATTATATGCAATCGTTATAATAGAGCTATGTGCTTGTTAACAGAAACCAACTATTTGTATGGCTATTTAATATTGGATTTATTGCATACATTTATTTCTTCTCACATTTTCAAAAAATTCACAATTGGTCTTATGGGATACGTTTCTGATCAGTGCGCATTGTTTGCAAAACCTTTACTAGCATTAGGTAGTTTGCTTTCACTTGTTCATCTGATAACAAAATTGTCACAATAATAATTATCTTTAGAACGAGAATGAGTCCATTCAAACACTCGTTTGGATTCTGTGTCAATCCATGTATACATTTCTTCAACAAATCTGGGTCAGTTAGATCATTGAATATTGGCTCAATCAGTTCTACTATGGGCCCAGGAATACCAGTCTTGTGTTGGTAGGTGGTGTGATCTCTTAGGTAGCCACACCAACTATCTTTTCCTTTTGGACACAGGTGATGCTGAGGGTTCTTCTCTGAGGAGGCAACATGGAAAAGAGATGCCCTAGCAGCTTTGGCCATTTCTTCAACACTATTAAGGTTTCCCCTTATTGCCAAACCATAATAGTTTCGAAGAATGTCCATCTTTTGCGTAGTTAGCCGACCTTTTCCAGACAAACCTTTACCATCCGAGAGGTTTCTCCCTTTGTTCGAGGTTTTTAGTTTCCGCAGTCTGCTTCTGAATGTGAGTTCATTGCTTTCCCACCGTCCGGACATTTCAGAATCTCATTTAAGACTATAAATAAAACTGATAAGTCCAGAAATGTAGTACCTTCTGTTATAATGTTGGAATGGACAGCAAAATTTCAAAATTAATGTTGGAATGGACGGCTGTCTGATTACCAATTTTCGCACCGGAAGATCCAACCTCTTTGTCACAAGGTTCGCCATTTTTGCATTTCTTTGCCATTTTTTCTCACTCGTTTTCTACCTCTTTTTTGAGGATTTCCCATCATTTAACTTCAAATCCCCCAACAAAATAACAAAAACAATAGTTGGGAAATAAAAGCAGCAAATTTAGCACTTGAAATGTTACAAAAAACTAAGAAATTTGTAGATAACTTCGCCAGAAATGCAAACGCATCGATCTCGAGACAGACAAAAGACTTTCATTGCCATGGCTCCCCAAAGGAACCAATTAGAATACAATTATGTCAAAAGACTCTGAATTCAATGCACCAAAAGGAGAAACAAAAATGACAATTTTTTGACCAATATTTCGACCAAATTTTGAGGAAATCTCAACCTAAATGCGTTGCTAGGCCGTTGCTATGGAGTGAATTTTTAAACAACATAGCTTTGAAAGCTTTTTGGCCGTAATTTATAATGTTTTTCAAAATATAAACGACAAAGTCTTAAAATTAAATAGTTAAGGCTCCCAAAAAATTAATAATTTTTTTTTTGAAAATTTGGTCAAAATACAGTTTATAAGAGGTGATGACCACTCAAGGTGAATTTCCTTGCTGTCTAAATTTTGCATTTGGATTCGTTTGTCGTATGTGTTATTTACTTATTTTATGATTACAGCCCTTAAAACGCCATCCGCTAGCTCCGTTCTCTGCTATCCTTTCTCGTACGAAATAACACTTTTGTATCTTATGGCAAAATTTTGCTTTACTATCCAAATATACTTCGAATTTTGTGTAATCAAAAAACCCACTTGAGAAAAAATTATGCTAGGTTTATAAATTGTCTATCAAACTTAGGACTTACCGATGCCAAATCAACCAATGACAAATAAATTTGGAGGTAGGTCCATTAAAATTATTTTACAATGAAATTTGTGAAGCAAATATTAACGAAATATGTATTGCTTAATCGTGATTTTTTTATGATTTCGCTAGGATAACAAAGAATCATTGTCATTAAATTAAAGATAACTTGTCATTTTACCTGTTCGAGTAAGATTTTATCCAATGCGTGATTTTTCCGATCAAGAACTCTTTGTTTCCGCAAGGCTTCCATGTGAAATGCAAACGCCATGTTGTCAATTGGTTGAAAATTAGAAAACACTGTTGCTAGGCAACGATTAATTTATTGGATATCTGTATGATATATGCACAGCGATTGTTATTTATAACCTCTATGGATATATGTGCATTGGTAAAAATTACCTTTGCTTTTTTATGACGCTTAACTAACTAAATTGTAGTGATTGTTTTATACCACCTAAAATGTTCGGAACAACTATAAAATACACCGTAAATTCTCGTTTTAGCAGCGCAGCGCTTATTGACTAAATCTCAACTAAAGATTCAAATAACTGTTTACATGATACAGTCTTCACGAATACAAAGTCACTTTGATCAATATTACGCAGTTAAATCTGTCGAAAAGTGCTAGCCGAACATGTTAACTTTGCAAGACTGGCGCTTAATGAATTTCCCGTTCCTAAGTGCAGTGCGTACCGAGAGCAGCGGCGCTAAAACGAGCATTTACGGTAATATTCAAAGTTGCCTATTTAAAATAAACACAGTAATGAGGTAGAATGACGACAAGATTTATTAAAACATAATGTTCCAGGCCTCTTTCTAGGCTATTTTCTTTTCTTCCAAGAAAAATTGCCAGAAAATAATGGTCCGATCCAGTCAGCACTCTGCAACGGAATGACCATGATGTCTTAACTCAAATAATGGCAATTGAAAACGATCATAAAGAAACAGTTTCTTTCCTTTATACGGGTATTACGTAACTGTTAGCTACTAGCTCTATAAAGCTTTTAAATACTGAAGAATCTATGCAAAGATTGTGGTTCTACAGCTTACCTCGTAAAAATTGTCATTTTACACATACAAACTTTTTGATCGATTAAAAAAGTCTTTTGCACATCATCATATTCCTCTACTTTTACATTGATGACATTATTCATACGGTTTTACACATCATACATGTATATTTGTAAACGACGAAATATAACTTTCTTGTAATCACTTAAATGGAATTAATTGTTGGTTTCCATCGAATAAATAAACCAAAATAACTGACTAAATTTGACTTACAAACCTATCAAGACTGAAAATAGAGATGAATATTTAAAACCAATAATGACTTACATCGAGATCCTCTCCCACGACCACGGAACCCTCGACCACCTCGACCTCCTCCACTACTTCTATTACCACGGCCGCGTCCTCGACCACCACGACTACCACGACCGCCACCACGACCTCCTAAATCAAAGTCATTACATCAAAGTTTTAACAAGAAAATCCAATTTGCATTCAAAGTCTTTCGCGAAACTATAATATTCATAAACATATCGCGACGAAGAAATCAACAACCTAGACCACTCTATCACATCCTTACCAGTCCCAGATGGCGCGAAAGTAATTTTTGGATGGATAAATTCATTCAAGCACAACTATTTATTACAACTATTCCTTATGTTAATATAAATATTTTTGGTTTCTCCTTGAATATATTAAATTCATTATAATCAGTTTTTTAGAATTTTAAAGGTTCTTACGTATCAGACTATGATCGATACGAAAATCTCAAACTGCACTTCTCTTTTTGTCATAATATCTCAACAAAACAAAGATATCTATGAAATTAAATGACACGATGCATTTCGGCAGACTTCTCATAAGGTGTCACATCTGATTAAATGAAAAACAAAATCAACTTCTATTGAAAATGAAGTCTCCTTAACAAATAGATAACATTTAACCGTTGTCTATACAGTTATAGATACACGGGTATAACGTCATTTGTAATAACAACTAAAAAAGTAGCCACGAGCCGCCGGGCGAGTTATTTTATATAATATAATAAAAAAAATCCCACATTAAACGGTGAAACAGTTTGTTTTCTTTGTTCCCCAACACTTGGAACATTAAAAAGTCGTAATTTTGCGAATATCACGATTACGTGATCTATAGGATTACGGCGCGCCGATTTAGTCTTTATTACATATTTTATAAATATATTCAATATTTTACATATGTATGCACAGTAATATAAATACATTCTAATGATTTTTATATCCACGCTCACATTTCAAATAATATATGTCTTAATTATATATTTTCTAATTATAAATTCAAACATGCCCTAATTATGAGTTCAAATATGTTCTATTTGTATTGAAATACGTCCTAATTGAATAAGTAGATTTATTCTAATTTATATCTCGATGTTTTTTTATTTTCGCTGTTCCTTCATTCCTTTATAAATTACAAAGAGAATCCCAAGAAACATTGCAAGAGAACGAAATGAACGTGGACTTAATGTTTTTGTGGGTTCACTTCAAGCACTATTGATATACGTTCAGAAATTAGAAGTCACTTATTGTTCAACAGAAGAAATCAAGAATATTGAATTACTTCTGGAAGGAAGCGCGTCGACATTTGCTTTCATTTCAGCTCATGCTGGAACAAACGTTCAAGACATCGTTTTAAAAAACTTCAAAAAAAGTGCCATTGATGCACTGCTAAAAAAAGTGAGAATAATTTGTCAGATATTAATACTACCCTACAGATAATAACCTACATAAATGCTTCGCAAGATGACCAAAATCAGTTTGGTTTCCTGGCTCCTTCATCATTGCCAAGAGGTTCTGGGCGCCCAGCCATCATAATACATCGCGATCAAATCGAGTGTTTGCGAGAACTGTTATTTTCGTGGGCAAGAATATCAAGTTTACTTAGAGTGAGTCTACCTTTCATCGTAAAGACGCCAATTAGATATATCACGAGAACAGACCTCGTGGACGACGATCTCGGGTAATTTTATCACTATCCATAGTCATTTGAAATGTAATTTCGAAGAATAATCATTAGTAGGAGACTCGCATATAATCTTTTTTGACCGATCGCTTTTCCTTTGACCAGAAAAAATCAGGTTAGATGGTGTAAAATTTTGTCAGCATAGGACACTGGTTTGTCAAATTTTTTCGAGGAGTTTATGAAAGACGATACAATACAAGTTTTCAAGTAGCTATAAATTTGTTTTCTCCCGTCAGGTTAGTTTCTTAACGTTGATCATTAGCTGTTTCGTGTTTTTCCGGGTGTATAAAATAGACAGTTGGAAAAAGTTCTCTAAAACATGACAAGAGCGGAAGAAACAAAACCATTTAGAAGGTTTGGTGATTATAAGTACTTTAACGTTCATAAATTTTTTTTGAACTGCAAGAGTTTTTAACTGTTAAATGACCGTTGTTTAAAGTCCTTCAAAACAGGCTTTGTGAACGAAAAATACTCATCAGAAAAAACCATTTAATCACCCAGCGACAAAATATGGACCGTGCTCTACAAGCTATGGAAATTTCAAAGCATTGGCCTACGCGAGATGGCTAAAACTTGGATTTTTGCGTTTATGCCTTTTAAAAGCAAGTTTCATTACATTTCAAATTAGTCATATGCATTTCGGAAATTTCGTTTTAAAGATTTTGTGTTACAGTCCATAGTTTGACTTAGGTTAATTAAATTGTTTTTCTGATTGATATTTTTGTGGGCAAGGCATGTTTTGAAGGACATTTAAGAGTAGATAGTTCACTGGTAAAACATTTTACATTTTAAAAAATTTCATTGCGAGCTGCCTCTCGCACCGAGTAGGCGAGAAATGCCATTTGCAAATTGCTATTGGGTGCTAATCGAACGAAATATTCTTTTGTAAATGAACAGAGTCAACAGAGTGATGAACGAATGAGTTTAACACGTCAAAGCAAAACTTCCCTCTTAGTTCATTAGTTGAGATGTCATGGTGAAATTTATAATTCTTCTAAAACTCTTGTGGACGTTGCGGTCAAGTATCTATGAAGCCGAAATATTTATAGTTGTATAATTATGATATTTGCATGTCAGTCTATTCAAAGGTCATGTTGTGGTTATCAAATTGATAGATACTCTTCCATAATAGGCTGTACTACAACTCTCAGGCCCCGTTTGCACTATACCGGACTGCTATCATCGCAGGTTGAGTATTCTTTGTATTAAAAGGCAATGAAATTGTTCAACGTCAGAAACACAATGAAATAGAAAAAATCTATCAGCTTAATAGCTTTTACTCCGAACAGTTGCCCCTTTAAAGCAAATGAAGATGTCGTGATGAGCGAATCCGGTATAGTGTAAACGCAGCCTCAGTTCGGTACTTTTCTTGGCCATCACATTACACATACGTACATATTTTAAAACGAAAATCATTGGAGATGCTCAAACAGTTATACTACATGAAACATTTCTTAGCTCTGGGACTGTAAAGTCACTATTGAGAGCTCTTATTTATTTATCGTCTACTTGTAATAATACATTAAATGTACTCTTGTCCACCATGCGGTCAATAAAATATTCCTGCCGTCAAAAGATCCGATGATAACATGAAAGCACATTGCTTTTCTAACCAAGTGAACCGCCTTGATGCAAATCAGCAACCGTTCATAAAGCCATACTATCGCTATTATTATAAAATGTACTTTTGTCGATCGTGTGTGATGCGGTCAATGAAATATTCGTGCCATTAAAACAACCGATAATAACATGAAAGCAAATTTCTTTTCGAACCGAGTGAATCGCCTTGACGCAAATCAACAGCCGTTAAAAAAACATACTACTGCTAGTATTAGGTATTCTTCGCAAATTGTCTTTCTGTTCGTTATAAATGTGTATCAACAGAAAAAAACATGCGTGCGCCTCTTAACATTTTTATTATTCACTCCCCCATACTAAAAATATCTTTTAAATTGTGACGTCATGCCCTGGAAAAATCTTAACAGACACACGCCAAATCGAGATTTCACCAATATATAGGTCGCGGAATAGAACTGGGTCGAGTGAATTGATTGTCAAGAATAGTGAGCTGCCTCGCTAACGCTCGGCAGCAATAACCAAAAGTTTTTGCATAGTCTGCGTGCGTCTTGTTTTAGAGAGCTTTTTTCAAGAATCAACTTCTTTGATACGCCTTGTATATATATCCATACGACCACAATGTATTACATCTTCTTGGAGAAGTATTGGAGAAGATTATATGTTTTGCTTTTCTACCAGCCGATAACCGTGGCGTTGGAAAAATGGCGTTTAGGTTGCACTGACATAAGCTTTACCACTAAAAAATCAACAGCATAATCTGATTTTTCAATAGATGGGCAACTTTTAAGAGGAGTTGAAGAGATCCAAATTTTAATCCCAAATGTTGGTCAGAGAAGACTGTTGAGCGCACTTGTCACAAAATATTCACTCGACCCGAGCGTTCACTTCTATTACTTTATTTTTATAGGTTAAAACCTTTTACAACATTAATCGATTACAGTGTTTTCTCATTCCGAAAAACAATCGCCAGCGTGCGTTTCTGAGCCCGCTGTTACCACTGCTGGTCAGTTGCAGCAGTCTCTGTGAACGCTTTTCACGCTAACCGTACCACTCTCCCCTTCAAGAATGCCATCTATGACATGTACGAATCTCGCGAACTGTTCTATAACATAACCTTTTACATCAAGACTTTTAGTGTCATTTTCATAACGACACCTGGGTTGGTTGATCAGACACAACCCCATTTTCTTTTAATATGTACACATACTCTACTAGATTCGTATCTAGGTAAGATACTATACGTTGGTATACGCTGCGTATACTTGTTTCGTGAATAGAAGTTAAAAGGTTTTTTTTCAAAGTTCAGTTCCACAGACTAAAAGGAAAACATGGGTTGATTGTTGTATATTGGAAAGTAACCAATTGGCGGGGGATTAAATGATAACCCATACGATACCAGATGAGGTGGTGGTAGATATCTATGTACCTGCATCATTCCGACAGTGGGGTTTGGCCTAAGGCTCGGCGCGGGGTTGTTCCAGACATTCGATACAAAGCCTCAGGATGTCCATTCCCTTGCGGATGGTAGGGCGTGGTTCGTGAGTGTGTGATGCCTGAAAGTTCTTCTAGCTTTCTGAATAGCTTGTTTTCGAACTCTCCGCCCTGATCGTGATAAATACGGGATGGATAACCAAAACGGGGAATAAAATCGTTTTAGATCTTTAATGCACTTGTGTTTGCAGTCTTATTTCGCGTTGGGTATGCTTGTATGCACCTAGTGAAGTGGTCAACTATGACAAGGATGTACTCGAAACCTCCAGAGCTACGTTCTAGGTGTACGAAGTCTATCGATACCAGTTCGAAGGGAGCAGTTGTAAGCAGGGTAATGGACTGTTGTGGTTCCCTAGTCGTAAATCTTGGTTTCC